TTATTTGTCGTTTTGAGGATCATTTAATAGTTGGATCAGAGGAATGTTGCAAGTGCCTGCAGTTGAGATGCTATCACTATTGATTCTTTTATTAATTACCATACAACAAATATAAAAAAACAAGCAAACATACAAACAAAAATGCAAACACACCCAAAACATTCATCTTCATATATATATATACTAATCCTTCTATTGAAATCATATAGGGTTATATAGGTTTTGATAGTTATATAGAATTATATAGAGTTATATACAGAGTTATATAGAGTTATATAAAGTTGAATAGAGTTAATAATAGTTATATAGAGTTAAAAGTGTATCAATTAGACAATAATCTGAAGAAGCAGATTTGCAATGATGTGTACAAACAAAATTTGTAATCTAAATAAATTAAATGTAATTCATTCGCAAGTTGTAAATTTTGTTTGGATGGCGAAAACTTAGAACTGAAGGATTGCCATACAGACACATACATACATATTCACACATACATACATATTCACACACATACATATTCACACACATACATACATATTCACACACATACATACATATTCACACACATACATGCATACATACATATTCACACACATACATACATATACATACATATCTACGTATATGCATCAATACACACACTCATACATGCATGCATACTAAATTCATCAAAATATATAAACAGACTTGCACATAAAAAAGTATACAAACATTAAAACAACTAACTGCAAACATGCAAATACAACGACATACATACCTTGAATACAAACAGATAACATACAAAACAAACAAGCAAACATCTTTTTATGTTTCTTCCTAAATTTTCCAACCACGAATGTGATGCATATCACAAACTTGCCTGAATACGTCTTATATAAGTACAAACAAAACCACACGCGATTTGGCATTCATGTACTCATACATACATATATAACTATATACCTATATATATATAGGTATATAGTTATATATGTATGTATGTATGTATGTATGTATGTATGTATGTATGTATGTATGTATGTATGTATGTATGTACGTATGTATGTATGTACGTATGTATGTATATATGGTCCTCTTGTTGATAAAAGCTATGTGGGAGCTAAAATCAATTACAGGTTCCAGTGTTCATTTATGTTCGGGGTTCCTTCACAGAAAGGTACTTCGTTGTTCCCTCCATAATACAAAATGCATTAAATCTGTGTAATAATATTGAAATTTATTGTTTTATGTAACGTTTAGCTTCCGGATTGCCAGAAATCTCGACAACTTTTGCTATTAACTGATTGATAAATGTTTGTGTTTGCCCATTAGTTGGGCCAAATGTTTCAATGCAAACTGGTATAAACATTTTGATGCTATCATTTAAAGTGGCATATTTTATTGTTTTTTGGTCAGACGCTTTTATCGCGGCGGTCCCAGCCTCCGTTGACGTAAAACCGATGCATCTATCGGCCATTGTGTGCGGAAAAGTTACGTCCCACGCCAAGAAGCGTCCTTGGGCCCAAGGAACCACTGCGTATCCGTCCGGTCTCTAGTTACCATTTTCAAGCAGTCCGGCTGGCTCCCTTATTACCGGAATAGCAGCTCTTTGAAAAACTCTGACTAAAAAATCATTCATTGCAGAATGTCGGGCTTACCTTCCTGATCCCAACCTACAAGATATTCCCTGGTAACCCAGCGGTTCCACCCTTGCACCCCACTTGCAATCATACTTTGTGACCACAGACAACCCCAATCTCAATCCCAAACTCACACGAACAGCGGCATCATCCATTCTGGTACCACAGGCTGTGCTCTGCTCGGGACCACTCTCAGCCACTCGGAGCCCAACTCACTCTGAACTGCCATGATCCTTGCTTTATCATGCACTGAGTTGGAGAGCAAAGATAGTCGATCAATCAGACGATTCACTGATGATGCGTGCCATTCTTTTTGCAGCACGGTATTTATTTCAACGTCTCTTCCAAAAGCAGCCTTCCACCCCATGTATACCTTCGTTCTGACGTTATCAACATACATTTAATTGGTTGGCAGCAGCATCTCTTGTATGGATACCGTGGCAGCGGCTGAGGCCAAAAAGGCAGAAGGTGCAACCTCAGCTACGGATCCTAAACCTAGACTGCCTGCAGCCAACCCTTATCATCCGGGGAGATGTTTAAAATATTTTCGAAACCATCACGTAGCGTTTTATCAAAGCTTTCTAAAGTTGAGACCTACGACAAAAATACGACAAATGGAAAAGGTGAGCCGCCTGCTACAAAAGCGTCAATGCATCGTGCTTTTAAATAATTGCTAGCCGTTCTAAAACAAATTCGAACTTTTTTAATTTTGTCGACCAAAAGTCGTTTTGAGTTTCACCCTGAAAAATAACAGACCCTAAAAATTCTATATCGTTTTTTGATTTTGTGTGGTGTATTAATTTTTGAAGGTGAGTTAGTAAATATTTCACACTTACTATAGTTTAATTTGAGTCCGATACTGGCTCATTTATCTGATATATGTATGTATGTATGTATGTATGTATGTATGTATGTATGTATGTATGTATCAATGTATGTATGTATGTATGTATGTATGTATGTATGTATGTATGTATGTATGTATGTATGTATGTATGTATGTATGTATGTATGTATGTATGTTTGTATGTATGTATGTACGTATATATGTTTGTATGTACGTACGAATGGATGTATGTATGCTTTGATAATTGTATTGTGTTGGAATAAAATTTTCGTCACTAATAAATATTAGGAAGTTCGTGCGATAATGAAATTAAAGAAATGTGTTTGAATGCAAGTTCAACTGGATGAATTCTCGCAGCTAGGTGGGCTTTACGAAAGGAATATAAACGCTAGATGAATATTATTTAAAATTTCCTAGTCCACCTTACAAACTCATATCAAATATATTTGTTTTCTTACGTTAAATCACTTTTTTTTTTTAGTTCAAATGTGTGTGTGTCTTTGTTCATCTATGTATGTGTGTGTATGTGAGTGTGTATGTGAGTGTGTATGTGAGTGTGTATGTGTGTATGAGTGTGTGTGAATGATGTGGAGAGAAAAACGAAAGCATATTGGTATGGAGGGGATGAAGTGAGAAGATTATAAGTTATAATGTTCATTGGGGCAGAAATTCAATCGTGATAAAGTATTTATATCACAGGACAGCGGTGAGGCTGTTACTATCGCCACCCACTGATATTCCTGCTGCCTATGTGGCTGGCTGCCAGGGTTGAGGCCGAGACCGACCCAGACCACTTTGACGGAGAGGGCAAAGTTTTGAAAGTGTTCAAATTTTAAAATTTGACGAGAGACGAAGAAACGAACCAAAATTGTATTACTGCTAATCATAATTGCGACGGGTGGGGATTCTAAAAAAATGGATGAGTGGATGAATAAATGGACGGAATGATGGAGGGATGGATAGAGGGATGGTGGATAGATGAGTCGATAAGAAGTAGAACGAAAAAACAGATAAATTGCGAGATAAACGTAAAGACGGCGGAAACAAAAATTGATTGAAAGAATGAATGAATGAATGAACAAATAAATAAATAAATGAGTGAATGAATGAGTGGATGAATTAATAGATAGACGGACGGACGAACAAAGGGCTAAACAAATAAACAAACATAAATGGACAACAGGACAGACAGGCAGTCAGTTAGATGAATAAATAGTTTATTAAAATGTTGAAAAAACTAAAAGTAAACTAAAATTATGAATTAAAAAAATGGCAGATGAATCAAAAAAATCCGAAAATAGGAACGGGGAAAGAATTTTATTTGAGTCCGCCGCTAAAAGTGGAAACATGTTGAGCTTCGCGTTTGTTTTTCGTTCTGATTGAATTTAAAAAATAAAACTGCTTGATGATGATAATGTTGTTGATGATGATGATAGGGATGATGGTGATGGCGGCGGTGATGGTGTTGAGAACAAAAATAGGAACGACCAACCAACCATCCAACCGCCGCCATACTTTCAAGACGGGTGGAAGGCTTGACTGGTGTAAAAGTATTTATCCTTTTGTTCATCCTCATCATCATCATCGCCACCACCAGCACCACTATCATCATCATCACACCTTAAAGTGTTCATTTTGTGGAAGCTTTGTTTACTTTGCATCAATTTTATTGCATGGCGTACACGTTTTTGCTCGCATGTTTTAAAGTTGGTCTCCATCACCATCATCATCATCATCATCACTATCATCATCATCACCATCATCATCATCACTATCATCATCATCACCATCATCATCATCACCATCATCATCACTATCATCATCATCACCATCATCACCATCATCACCATAATCGCCATCTTAGCCACAGCAGCAGCAGCAGCAGTAGCAGTTAAAGCATTTGATGTGGTAGTTAGTCGTGGAATATTGATTCTTTATCAATGTTATTGTCTTCATCCATCAACTTTTTCATTCCATTTTCCTTCCTACTTCCTCTCATATCAATATACTCTCTCTCTTTTTCTTTTTTCTCTCTTTCTCTCTTTCTCTTTCATTTTTCTCTCTCTTTCTTCCGCTCTTTATTTTTTTTATCTCTCTCTTTTCCTTACTTTCTGTCACGTTATCATGCCCTCTTCACATTGCTTTGCATTGCGTAACTAGAAACATCAGCTCCCTCCAACATACACACATACAAACATACATACATACACACTTGCATTAATCTTTGGCATTTAACGTTGTAAGATGTTCTATTCATTTGCATACGATCATCTATATGCCCATCCATCTAACCATTCATCCATCTATTTATCCATCTATCTATCCATTCGTCTATTTCTCTGTCTATTCATATATTTATTCACTCGCTTATCCGTTTATTCCTTTGTTCATTCCTAAATATATTGTTTTAGTGTACAACGAGCAAATTAATAAATACATACGTAACGTAGGTCATTTGGTGAACTGCTTGCAATTATTATTATTATTATTATTGTTGTTGTTGTTAAAATTCATAATAATAATAATATTATGGTTCGAGAAATTTAAACAGTTTTTAAACGACTCGAGAAAATATTCAACATGCGTGATGCATATCTGCCCACGGGTGGAATCGAACCTACTCAACCAAGTATTACGGCATATTTACGCGCCGTTCATCAATCTATTATTCTTTTAATCATTCATTCATTCATTCCGTTATTCATTCCTTTATTTATTCATCCACCCATCCGTCCATTCTTCGCATCCGTGTTGGTTTATTTATATCGTACTCTACAATTTCGCGGTCTGATGAACGAGTTATTAAATGTTATGACTAGATTCCTTTACAATTCACTTGGTCGGTTGGTTGGTCAGTTGGTTGGTTAGTTGGTTGGTCGGTTAGTTGGCCAGTTGGTTGGTCAGTTGGTTGGTCAGTTGGCTGGCCAGTTGGTTAGTTGGTTGGTCGGTTGGCTGGTCAGCTGGTTGGTCGGTTGGTTGGTCAGTTGGTTGGCCGGTTGGCCGGTCGGTTTTCAATATACATGCATGTACGTATGTACGACTGCATGTACGTTATGTTCTACGTGATGTATGTTTGTGATTATTGGAGTGCACATGCGATGTAAATAGTTGTTGTTGTCATAGCAGTCATATTATGCGATTAATATCATGTTTGTTTGTGTTTGTGTATATTATTTAAAAGTTCTTTAAAAAGTTTTTTGAATGGAAGAGACTTGAAACATCAGGCTAGGCTGATGACAGCCGGGCAAAAATACTTCATAAGTTTGTTCAGTTCTCTGCCTTTATTTAGACGTTCATTAGAAGGTTCGTAAATTGCACATTCCTTATGTATATATGTATGTTTGTATGTATGTGCGTGTGTTTGTGTGTGTGTGCGTGTGTGTGTGTGTATGTGGTGGTAGTTGAATTGAAAATTGATGAATTAAAATTGAATGAGTCCGTAAAAACATATATTCATGTTGTAATTTTTTTGCAACCAACCAACCAACTAGCAAACCAAACAACCAATCAATCAACCAACCAACCAATCAATCAAACCGCCAGCTGACAAACCAATCAGCCAGTCACATACGTCATGACATTCTCATGTTATTCAATCTAATAAATAAAAATTTTAAAAGTGCTTTTCGTCACGCAAAATTTATTTGAGCATCCGCAAATATTCTCTCCTATTTTTTCAACATCTCTTTCTTTTTTACTCTCTCTCTTTCTCTCTCTCTCTTTCTCTATCTTTATTTTATTTACGTTTCTCCCTCTCTTTAACTTCTTGTTACTTCTGAATTTATATTTGAGAGCAGTGCCATGTTCGGTTAGGATAGACAGATGAAGAAAATATTAAAAAACTACAATATTAATGAAAACGAGGAAAAAGGAAAAGAGAGAGAGAGAGAGAGAGAGAGAGAGAGAAATAAAAACCAACGTAAAATGATGGAAAAAATTTAAAAGCCCATCATAATTCCAATGAGCTTTTTACTGCGGTCAAAGGCAATGCGAACCATAGAACCGATATATACATCTGCATACATACTCACACATACACATACATACATACATACAAACATACATACATACAAACATGGTCGTTTGAAGTTTCGGATGAGTGAGTCACAAGAGACATAGAGAGAGAGAGCAGAATGTTTAAATCAAATTTTAATGCAGTTAGATGAGGTCTTAATGTTCCAAAGCCTTGTCTTCTAATGCACATGTCGGTCTGCTTAATTGTTTGTTTGTTTTTCTGTCTGTCAGTCTCTTCACATCTTATTTCGTTTGCTTATCTGATTGTTCATTCGCTCTTTCCTTAGATTTCAGCTTTCTTGATGAGTTTATCGGCGATATTTATAGCGGTTGATTGTTTTTGTTGATGGAGATGATAATTATTATCCTATTTGCGAATTCTGCGGGACATCCTGGAGATTATTTTTATATTTTACGTTCATTTCATCTTTTAGTATTTGGACTTTAAACTTTCGATTCTATTTTTGAAGAACGCCATAGTCAACAATTAAAATTTAACCACATACACACATGCAAGACTAATAAGACTAATGTGAGAAGAAGTTGTACGAATGATGTTTCTTCATTTTGCGTTCAATTGCATGGCTTCTTACGCTTGCATTTGTATCAAGGAAATCTAGCCGATGCAATGGAAGGATGGGAGAAAGATGTACAAATTAAAAGAAAGAAATAATGTTGAGATGACGAGGATGTTGTGAGGGGCGGGTAGATAGAGATATGAACGTTGTTGTGAGGGTAGACTCGACATTTGTAGCATCTGTTTGATTCAGTTCCGAGGCTTACCGTGTTTTATGCTCCGTTCCGTGTTATCGCATATTGTACGACTGCTACTACTGTTTGTTGTTGTACACGAGCGTGTGTGTGCATTTGTGTGTGTACACTTTTGTATGCTATTGTATGTACGTACGTATGTATGTATGCATGCGTGTGCGCGCATGTGTGGGTCGGGAATACATTTGCATATGCCAGTGCAAAAATAGCTCAGTTGATTGTTTGTTTGGTTGAAGAGATGTGAATTTATTTTGGAGTGTTTTGAATGAATTTGAATGATTCACGCAGAGGTGGGGAGTGAGAAGAGGTTGGATGCATTGCATTCTGCATGAGGCACACGGGCACGTGACCACACCAAACACGCCTGAATTTATATGCGCCCATGCTTTCTCCCGCTCTATTTACACTGCGAACCATCCAATCGATACCCACTATAACTACAACAACAACACATCAAACATGACAACAACAACACAACAACAATACAACAACAGTGACGACAACCAGCAGCAGTAGAATTTTCTTGAAGGAATTATTTGCTCCGGCTTAATGAAATACAAAGAAATATCTTTTTACCACAGAACATAACAAAAAAGTGGAGGAGAGAAAAGAAAAAGATCATGAATAAGACATGATAGCAGCAGTCAATATGTCTATTACCTCTCTCAAATGAGCTCATAATAAATTTAAATGCACACACACACACATATGTATATATATATATATATATATATATATATATATATATATATATATATATATATATAACTATGTGTAAATATATATGTATATAAATCAGGGTGATAAATAAATATGGTGCATAGTTGTTGTAATTAGGTTTCATTAAATTACGTGATTGCATTGAGAAGCCCATATAATCAGTTTGCTGTTTGGTTTGATCTCTTTCCATTCTTTCTCTCTTTCTACCTATCTTATATTCTCAATTCTTACATTCACACTTCCTCTTCCTCTCTTTTTCTGTCTCTCTCTCCTCTACTCTTCCTCTCTTCTTAACTTTTCTTTGACTCTTTCTCTTCCTTGCTTTTTTCAGATCTAAAAATTTCCTAAACTTTTTTGTCCTTATATCTTTTTAAGTCCTCTCAACTCTCTCTCTTTCTATTCTCTCTCCTCTTTATTCATCCTCTTTCTTTCTTCATTTCTCTCTCTTTCGTTATCTTTTCTCTTTTCTTCTATTTTCTGTCAGTCCTTTTTGTTATGAAGTTGTAAAGATGTTCATTGCAAAGATGTTATAAAATGTAAATAAAATAAAATAATAAAAATAAAACGCTTGTCGTCGTGCTAAGCGTGATGTTGTTTGTTTGTATATGTGTGTGTAGTTGTTTGTATATGTGTGTGTGTATTTGTTTGTATGTGTGTGTATTTGTTTGTATGTGTGTGTGGTGTGTGTGTGGTGCACACATGCTGCATTGGAAGGCTGACGTTTTTTAACAACTTCATTTTCAATAAATCAAAACTGACAAGAAACATTTTTTAGGCAATTCCTTCCATACAATGCAACTCGTCCATCCATCCATTCATTCATACGTGTATCCATTCATTTATTCATTCATTCATTTTTCGATTAGTTGTTTATTATATACCAACATATTGGTTGATCCGTCTTCCATTCATTTGCTCAATTAATTTGTTCATTTGCTTATTAGCCAATTTATTAATTCAATCATAAAATATCTGCATCCAACCATTTATCCATCCATCCATCCATCAACAAAAATTTCTCCATTTTTTAAACTTTAAAATTTATTTCTTGCAGTGGTGTGTTTCCATGTTGTCACTCTCTCTCTCTCTCTCTCTCTATAAATAACAAACAACAAATGGGAAAATAATTGATCAGCTCTTCTTCTTCCTTATCAGCATTCTCGTCGTCATAATAAAAATAATCAACACGATGAACCATTGAAGACTGACTGGCTGCCTGACTCATTCATTCATTTGTTCACTCACTCACTCACTCACTCACTCATCCAAGCACACAAGCAATCTTTCATACAGAAGTTCTCAGGCTTAATAATTCATTAGAAGACTTACCGTCATGAGCATTTTACATGCATATTTTACACACACACATACACACACACACACACACACACACACACACACACACACACACGTACATGTAATATTTCTGAATAACATTGCATAACTTATTTGATGTTGGTTCCGTGTAATTAACTTCAATTAATTCTATCTAATTAAATTTTAAGAATAAAATAAATTTATTTTTAAGAGGATATGCGCCCGAATCAAAATTCGACTTTGCTTGTTTGTATTTGTTTGTTAGGTTGCTTGTTTGTATTTGTTTGTTTGTTAGGTTTGCTTGTTCTTTATGTTAGCTTATTTGTCTGCATGTTAATAAATAAAAACATGAAACATCCAGCTAAGAAATGACACAAATGGATGAACGAATGAGTAAAAGAAAGAAAGAATGGATAAATGAATGAATAAAGGCCAAACAAATGAAGGATTGATGAATGGACGAATAAGAGAAGGAAAGAACGGACGGATGGATGGATGGATGGATGGACGGTGCGTGAAATTGCATCACAGTGTACAATGTGGAATGGTACTGTACCGTATTTTTGTATCATATTGTATTTTTACTGCATTACATTCTGTTGTTGGTTTGCACTGTTTGTCAGCCAGAGTATAAAATTGAGCTGAACATTTTCTATTTCCTCTTTGTTGTTCATGTTGCTTCAGGCATTCGTTGTTGTTGATGATAATTTTTTCGCCTTTATTCATTACATCAACAACATCAACAACAACACCAACAATCTCAACATTATCACAGACCACCAAATGTTCATCACCATCATCATTATGTACGTTGTTTTATTTAGCTCCATTCAAACCACGCTCCGCTCCTGGCATCAAACACATTGTAATACTTTTCTATGTATGCGTCAGTCTGTGTGTGTGCGTGTGTGAGTGTGCAGCATTCTTCATACAATCATTGGAAGGTTAATAATGATGCTTCGCACTCAGATAATTGTTGGCAACATTTCAATGCACCATAACTACAACATACAAACAACATACAATCCACATACAAACAACATACAATCCACATACAACCTACATACAAACAACATACAATCCACATACAAACAACATACAATTCACATACAAACAACATACAATCCACATACAACCTACATACAATCCACATACAACCTACATACAAACAACATACAATCCACATACAACCTACATACAACCTACATACAATCCACATGCAACTTACATACAATCCACGTGCAACATACATACAATCCACGTGCAACATACATACATTCTATGTTCGATATTATTTCTTATTCAACTTCATTTAAATGTTACAGAAACACATACAACGTAGAAAATTATGTTTACAAACACCAAGACATATACACGTACATCAGTATACAGACAAACACACACACACAGACATACAAACAAGCATACAGACGCATATATCTACGCACTAATGCACACAAAAGCCCTTAAACCGCAAAAAAGCAACAAAATGGTAGTAGGTGTGTACGTGTTGAACATGTTCGATGAGCCAATGAACATACACCCCTCCTGACAACTTGCTTTTTCAGAGATTCTCTCACGACTCGTTCCTCAGTATAAAACGCCCATCGCTCCAACGACAACTTCGTCATTTCCACAACTTTAACGTCGCAATTATGCTGGAATGAAGCAAGTGTGGTGGGGTATTTAAAGACTTCAAACTACTGCTGCATGTCACGTGCTGATTCCATGCTCGCCATCCTATATGCGTGCTCCCGAACTAATGAATACTAGCTCAACGCCATCATCAACATCAACAACGTCATCACCATCATCATTAGCAGCATCAGCATCAATGACAACATGCAGGCAAGTATACAAACAACTTTCACTAATCACCCGACAACGCATCGACAGAAGACAAAATCCTGCTCGAACCTTCAAACCAACAAATACAAACACACACACCACAAACAAATACAAACACACACCACAAACAAATACAAACACACACCACAAACAAATACAAACACACACCACAAACAAATACAAACACACACCACAAACAAATATAAACTAACTTACAAACACAAATAAACAAACGTGCTCAAGCAAACAAAAAATGAAGTCATTCAAAGCAGCTAAAAAAACAAAAGCATCAAACAAACAGGAAATACTATGCTACAACAAACAAACAAACGAATGAACGAACGAACATACAAACAAACGAACAACAAATATTGTATGCATGGATGGGGCAGATTAAATCAAACAAACATACAAAACAAAACTTTGAAAATAAACAAAATACACAACAACAAACAAGCATAAACAACAATTACAGAAAATAAACCACAATAAGCTCAGATAAACAACAGCAACAACCGCAACAACATTAAACACAACAACAACATCATTAAAACAACAATAACAACAACAAAGAATCGGATAGAAGATAAAAGTATAAATCATCGATAAATTGGTCCTACTATGTACAACGTTGTAGTACTCTGTACATACGTACACACACACACACACAAACATACATACACACAAATATACACAAACACACAAACATGCATGCACATACATGCATGCACATACATACAAACATACATACACAAACAATGCATGCATGCATGCATACGGAATCTATATATACAACAAATTGCAAGTTTGAGCTTTGTTGAGAAACGAGCACACACGGATAAGCTTCCTACCCGTTAGTTAATCGATTCAATTACTGGATACCATCATCGTTACCATCGTCACATCCAGGGTTCGAATTGATGGGGGTTGGGGGGTTTTACCCCCTATCTCTAAAATAAGACCCTCCATCTTTCATTTAATTTTATTGTTGGGGGGTCAAAATTTGACCCCCGTACATTCAAAACTTCACCCGCCAGTTCTTGTGAGCCCCCCTACTTCTTTTTTCACAATTCGAACGCTGAGCACATCATCATCTTCACTGGCTGAGACATTTATATTAGGACTTTTATTAATTCATTAAACCGGTCAACATGAATGAGACGCCTAATAAGGACTGTAAAAGTTTATATATATGTATGATAATTTTTAATTACTGGGAAGAAAAATATAGCTTCTGGATATGCTTATGATCTATTGTATGTATGTATGTATGTGTGTGTATGTAGGCGTGTGTGTATGTATGTGTGTATGTATGCATGTACAATGTATATATGATAACTCAAAAATATATCCTTATTAATAGCTGGAAAGAAAAATATAACTTCTGGATAAGCTTATGATCCAGTAGGGAGAATTCCAACTCACACATAGGCGCATATAGGCAAAATAAATAGAAATAAATTAGAAAACTAATAAAAACACACACGAAAATAACTCAATAATGAAAAGAAGGCACACAAAATTAATGGAGTGAATAAATAAAGGCTAACAGACATTAAGCGACGATGACGATAATGATGACGTAGATATTAACAAAGAACTTTCATGTAATTGGACCGCTTGGTGAGATGTAAAAATATAACAAAGTCGTCCTATACAATAACAGACATATTATGTATGTATGTATGTATGTATGTATGTATGTATGTATGTATGTACGTATGTATATATATATATATATATAAGCAATTATTAATGAAAATCACGGCATGTTCGGCGTTAGTTAGCTTTCTGTTTGATTTTCCGATTTTCCTAACTGTGGATCGTAACTCATTCTCAAGTTTCTTGAGTTCAAAATCAAAATTTTTATATATTTATATGATCATGGATAAAAATATCAATAATAATTATGAAATCAGCAAAAACAATAATAATAATACAAGGGCAGAATAAAAAATAATCAATGCATAACCATCGATGAATAAAAAGCGATGGATGGATGGATGGATGGATGCGTAGTTAGGTATCTTTAGTAAGGCCCTTCAACATCATCATCATAGTACAACATCACAGCCATCATAAAACATCATCATCAACATCATACACCTCTCCATACAAATCCAGCACACAAGGACACAACCTCTTAACCTGACCTATATAAGGTGACCTCGTTTCGACTTGTCCTACACGTGACCTCATTTTTATGTTCTCTTCATTACTTACTCTCTCAACGTTATCCCTACCTCTATGCTTGACCCCATTAAAATTATCATCAGGCTTCCGTACAATCTTGACTCTCTTACGTTCTACAATATTTCTAACTTCAACGACATTTCGTCTTGAACTTTCAACCTTACCTAGATGTTCACTGAAACCTTCTTTATTCCCAACTTTATTATCAATCTTTGTTGATGTTGTTGTTTTTCTTGGCGACGATGACGCTGCAGTTGTAGTCGTTGATATGTACTTGGCTATTTTGCTGATGTTGCGAATTTTTGAATTAACGTTAAGTTTGCCGGTATTATTGAAGCTGTTGCTCTGATTATTAGGCTTCTTCATATTATTATTATTATATTTATTCAAAATATAATCATTATCATTAAAATTATTTATACCCTCACCATCATCGTCATCATCATCGTCATCATCATAGTTAGCAGTACGATCAACTTGAGCCATCTTAACCTGTCTCATCTTGAAGCTGCTAACATTGTGGTGAAGATGATTAAGATGCTTACTATAATTAATGTTATTATGACTTCTAGTAAAATTTTTATTATTATTACCACGATAATATTTTTTAGTATTATCTTCACCATCATCATCTTCTTGGGGTTTTCCAACGCAGCTAAAAATAGGTTTGTCGTTTGGTTGTAAATAGCATGTAGCAGTTATCGAATCAAAAGATGGCGACGACGGATGACGTAATATAACCACGTGACTGCAGTGTAGGCCTAATCTACATCACGTGATAAAATGTTTACGTTTTGAGTGGTCGAGTGTTATTGCAAGCAATTAGAAATAGAAATATGGATTTGGAAATAAAATGGCAGAACCTCTTGAACGAGTTGACGTGGTTGAGATGGATGAAGTGATCCAACTCACATATCAAATCTGTCGAAAACAAATTATAAATGTCCACTTTTTGTCTGGCCAAGATTATGAATAAATGAAATAAATGAACCAATAGAGCTTAGAAAACAAATTTACAGCAAAATACAAAAAATTAGGATACAAAGAACTCAAAACTGAATGATAATAAAGAGCTGTCTGTAGCCCGTGCTCACTTTTATCGTAACACAATTCCTTACAATCAATGTGATTGCCATCTGCGAGGTAAAAATTGTAATGATCATTGGTGCTTTTGCTTCTTTTGATGTTGTTGTCTGTACAGAAGTTTTGTCCCAGCAGTCGATCATTCAGATTATGAAGGAAACCACGAACTGAGAAGGCATAGGGGAACACTGGCGCAAACTGTTCAGTGAATTATCATTCGATTGATTGATTGATCATTTATTCGTTAAATCATTCATTCATTCATTCATTCATTCATTCATTCATTCATTCATTCATTCATTCATTCATTCATTCATTCATTCATTCATTCACAATTAACACCGACATCTTTAATCTTAGCAATTCTCTGCATGACAGCTTCAAGCTGCTTGGAATCGTGTGCATCAAAAGTGAAGACGTGGGGTTCCTTAATGTACCTTTCCAAATAAGGGTGCTGACTTGTTATCTGGTTAGTAAAATTAACATCATCTCTGTCATCATTATTATCACCATCATCACCAACACCAACAACATCATCACCATCACCAACAATCCTGGAAGTGGGTTTCCCAAATAGAGTTAAATTTTTGGCGGGGTTGAGAAATATGCAGCCAGAAGCAAGAGCGAGCAAGGGACTTGGTGATTCAATTGGATCTCCCAAGCCGACACACACCTGTATGATGTACCTCAATCATATATACATTATATACCTGTCTATATGCTACTCATTCAATTCAATGTGATTAGCCAACAAGTAAGCTTGCAAAGTTAGCTGTGTGTACACGTTGTGTAGTATGTACGTAGATGCCGTGTGTCTAAATGCATATAAATATGTATATATTGTATATATGTATGTTTATGTTGTATATGTATGTATGCATGTATGTACGTATGTACACAAACCTTGGCTGATGATAGAAGTTTTTTATAACTGTTTACATCTTGAATACCAAGAAGTTCAGAACCTTCTGGAAGCAGTTTTTGGAACCTTTAGAAGAAAGTTAACAAATGATATCATACTAATTCTGCTGCTAAGTAATATCACTGATGATGATTTAATAAATCAACACGACCGATTTAAAATGTAAGAACCTGGCATGCATCGTCGCTTTTAATGGAAAATATTTTGATATAATTTTCAACATACTACTCTGACCCTGGATGCAAGAATGAATGAATGATTGAATGAATGAATGAATAAATAAATGGAAGAATGAATGAAAAAATAAATGAATTAATGAATAGATAAGTGAATAAACGAACGAACGAACGAACGAATGAATGAATGATTAATAAAAAACATAAAATTCAAAATCGCCTCTAAATATTTTCCTTCTTTTCCGAGAAGCAATGCAAAATCTTGCTTCTTGTTGTGGCTATTGTTGATCATGTAGTTGATACTTTTGTTGATGTTTTTGTTGATGTTGTTGTAGACAACATACCTGATTGGATTGTCATCTTCGTTGTGGTTGTTGTTGTTGTTGACGCGTTTGTCGTCGTCTTTGTTGTTGATGTTGCCATTATTGATGTCATTGTCGTCATTGTAGTTCGCGTGCCGGTTATATATTTGGTCTTTGGTGATCATGAAACCAAGAAATGAATTGTCAGGTGTGTGCGCTGTCAATCAATCAAAAATTTTCACCTTGATTCATTCAATTTTTTACAGTTCCAAAAAAAACTAAATAACAAATAAATAATAATAACGATGAATAATAATGAACCAACGAAACATGGTGTAAAATTGTTTGGGGTTCAAATCCAGCCCTCCCCAGCCTACACTGAGATTGTGTGCTTTGATGAATGCTAGGTCGTTGTATGCTGGCTCTGTCCCATATACATCCAGTATACGAAATTTGTATCTGTGTGTTTGTGCGTGTGTGTGTGTGCAGGTAAGCTTGCGTATGTGAGTGTTTGTGTGTGTGTTTATATGTTTGTGTGTGTGTGTGTGAGCGTTCATGATTTTTTATGTTTTGGTGTATGTGCATGTAGAAATGTATTTCCAACTGTCCAACAAATCAATCAGTTGTACTTGTAAAGTTGTGTGATTTGTTGAGGAAGAGCTCTATAGCCGGGTATGTCAGTAAAGATGATGTCGACTTCATCAGCCCCAGCACATCCCTGGTCCTCACTTGTCCTAATTCCATTTTTATTTTTTTCCAAAGAACTCAACGACATGGCTTTCAATCTGAGTGGAGTGAGTTTGTTTTTTCAATCAATCATAAAATGTTGATAATTATTAGCAAATTTTTGCACCACCAACAACAGCAACAACAACTAGCTCGTTAACTAACTCATTGGCAACAACTTTCAAGTTACTCCTGACGACAACCTGCTGGCACAGAGCCAAACATCCAGCAACCAAATCTGCCCACTGCATCAATTCACCAAGTGAGCCGCCATTTTTTATTGTCTGGGGACTTGCAAAGTTGGTTAGTGTGAGCAGGCCAGGTGTGATTATAATCTAAAAAAATATTCATTATAAAAACTTTTAGCAAAACAAAACCTTCTCCAGATGACAAACAATTTGACATGAAAAATTATAAAAAAAACAATGAAAATTTTTCTAATTTAAACTGAACTAACTTTTTTTCTACTGTAAGGATGAAATTCTTCACAGTCCCCAACAATTTTGAAAGCCTCACTTTTTACTTGAGGCCAAATTGCTTCCAACCTTGTCGACATCCACCAAAAGTGCCAATCCATCGACATATGCTCCAACAAAAAATTAAAAGTTGTTGACTTTTCAAAATTTAGACCCACATTGCTACTACTACTACTACTACTGGCTATGATATGATGATCAGGATTGGGATCGTGCGGTGCTTTCCTATTTATCTTCTTAAATAAAAACTCATCACGATCAACCAGGCTGTAGGCTCCATGTAATGAAACATTTGCATTCTCATCATCATCCTCATCATCAGAATTTAGGAGCACGTAAAAAAGAGTCCACAAGCAGAAAACTAGCAAAATTGTGGTGAATGCTTTGTAGGTCGGTTTAATAATGGTGAAGGGTGTTGGTCTTCCATACTTCTTTCTTACAGGCATTGATGTGATTAGTCATGAGTAGTTACATTATTTTATTTATTATTTCATTTATTTAATAACGTTTATTTGTGTGTCTGTGTTTGTGATAACCAATAACCCAATTCCATTATTTAGTCATTAATCAATTAGTGAGTGGATTATATTATTAGTTGGAATAATTATTTATATATATATATATATAATATATATATATATATATATATATATATATATATATATATATATATATTATATGTGTACTGTGTAGTCAGTGTAGTTGTAGTAGATGTAGATTGTAGAATCTAGCTAGATGATTGCAGGTAGGCAGATAAATTCCTTACTTCATTCACAATTTTTAAAATTTTAAAAGTTGAAAAAGTTGATGACAGAATATTTATTTAATAATACAAATATAATTATTATTCGCGGTAGAGACAGGTATGTTTAAAGTTTGATGTAAGTTTACTTTTCAAAAATAAGTCAACTTTTAAATTTATTTATTCGCCTATGAAAAGTAAATTCAAGTAATTATAAAACAAAATCTCAGCAATTGTAAACGACGAATGGCAGTCGTTTCATTATGTACTGGCGACAGAACTGGAAATCGGTTTAATTTGAAATTATTCCTAATTTTTATTAAATAAGGTTATATTGATTCGATTTATTAAACGAACATTTGATAGGATTTATAATACTGACGATTAATTAGCCAAAGCATTCGCATTTGCAGGATTGTTTCATTTGCATGTAAAATTGTAAAAAGTAAATTTTTTACTCATTTGATTCTGTTCTGATTGACGAATGTATGATGATACTGATTGTCACTTGGGGGTGGGGTCCAGCGTGGCCGTTTTGAGTGCAAAAGCAAAAATCTCAAAAATAAAGTTAGGAAACTATCTGTAAGATAAGAAGCGTTCACTTTTTACTAAAAGAGAGAAAGATAATAATAGCACTAATCCTAATCTAATCTAATCTCTAATCTAATGTAATGACTAATCTAATCTAATATCATTTTATAATTTTTATTTAATCAATTTTGTTACTTTTCAACAAAAGTTATAAAAGCCCTTCTTACTTTCACACCAAACCAAATGATGCATGCATGCACTTGTGTGTTATATGGGCTATCTGTGTTATATTTGTATGCATTTTACATTAACACATACCCATTCATATCTATCTAATATATTTAGGCCAATAGATGCTAATATAATAGATATACAATCATATACCCAAGCTATGTAGTTGAATATATAATACATAATACATATTGTAGTTCTACAATGTATGTGAATGGTATGTATGTATAGTAAAGAATAGGGATAAATAATGTTGTGTTGTTGTTTTTATGCATGGCTGCTGTTATCTGTTTGTTTGTTGGTTTGTTGAATATTAGGGATTTGTTTATTTGCCTATATATACAATACACATAGCACTTACACTTACATATTCTTACATTGCACTTTCATACATTTATAAACACCTAAGTACACACATACATACTAATATACACACTCACATACATGCATTATACATTGGATTGTTTTGTTTGGAATTTTGATGCTTTTTATGAACTTGCTTGATGCATTTAGAGTTAGATTGTTGTTTGAAAGGTTTTTATATTATATCAATGTTAAAACTGGCTTGATAGATATCATTTTAAAATAAATAAAATGTTTGAACTCTTCAAATCATCATCATTATCATTTATGGTGGTGTTTAATTCATATACAAACTGGTGCTTATAATTATAATATAATTATTTATATACCTTCTCTTGTTAAGTTACAGGAATTATATTCATATGGTCTATTTCTAACTTATATATATATATATATATATATATATATATATAATTTCATAACTTGTTTGCCCACACAATAAAAAGTTAGTAGTACATCGATCTATGAATCAACACAAAATTATTGATTAATTAGGTTATTTCTTGTTTAGTTAACAGTAACTAATCTAATCTTTACAAATAAATAAATAAATTGATGATTTCATGTTCTTAATCCTCTGTTAATTGGATTTTGTTATTCTACAATAGGTAACTACCTATTCATTGTTTTATTATTAATCATTTATATTGAATTAAATTTAGTTCACTCATTCATTCAATTCATAAATAAATAAGCATTTTATTTTAAATATTGTTAAAAAGTTAAGAATTAAGTTATATACTTATAATATACTGCAATTATATTACAATATTATTATATATTATAATTTTATAATAATTCTGTAGAAATAGATCACAGTTGTAAAATTAAAGGCCTCCAACAAATCATGGTCCTGGCATAACATACTTCTCTGACAGAGTTAGTGCATTTGAAGTGTACATTTTTGATTGTGATGATTTTGAAGAAATGGTGGGTGATGAGATAAGATAAGAGGAAGATAATTATTCGGCATAATTATTTTTGAGTAAGGATCAGAAAATTAGCAGGAATGAAATTAGTGATGCAATTAATTTTCTGGTAAACACACTGATAAAGAAAGATACATGCACATACATACATGCACACACACACACACACACACATACATACACACATACACACACACACACACACACACATACATACATATACGTACTGTACATGTGTGCATCAGGCATATATTTTTATGAAAAGAGCATAAAATGAGTGAATATAAGAAACAAAAAATCAATGGTTTTTGTTTTCATCATCTTCACCATCATCATCATCACCATCTTCGCCATCGTCGTTGTGGTTGGTTGTTTTCAGATATTGATTTTTCTCGCCGTACAGAACATCAATAACGAATCATTGAACGAACGGAGGAATGAATGAATGAATAAATTAATTAATTAATTAAAAGAATGACTAAAATAATGAATAAAGATGTTACATGTTTCATGAGACTGACTAGCTAGCTGGTTGGTCCGCCATGTTTCAAGCTTCAGCTACTCATCATCGTCATCACCAATTTCATCATCACCATTAGCATCATTATTTTTAATTTTAAAAGTAAACTTTGTTTGAAAGTTTCAAACAAATTTTGTACTCGTCTCTCATTACAACTTTCGAAATGTTAAATTTTGAACACAAACATTTGCACGCGAACATGCAAACATACACGCACAAGCGCACTTACACACACATACACATGCCGAGACAAACAAACATACAATTATTTACTCAACTACATTTTTTATTTCACAAAGTCTTCAACGATCCTCCTAGCAAACAAATCTCTATCTTTGCAGTATTCGCAACTTGTTGCTCCTAATGTGGTTATTATTATTATTATTATTGTTATTATTATTATTATTATTACTATTGCGACAGACATTCAAATGTATAACTATACTAACACTGATTACATTTCTCGTTGTGTTGTACGCATTTTATATCTATAATGGCGAGCATCGTAGACTACTTTCTCATTTTAATTCATTTTATTTATTCCAACCAACTCCTATTTTTAACCTATTAATAATTGTCCTCAGTTTACGGTTTAAACCCTTAGATTCATTTGGATTTTTTTTAAACACTTGGCATGTCATAATTTTTTTTATTTTATTTTATTTCATTGAATATTTATTTCGCCCCTTTTTGGAAAAAATAAAAGAGTTCCCATTATTATTATTATTATAATGAGAATAATATTTTTTTTATAATATTACCACTTCTCATATAATTTTTAGATTATCACCATTAGTACCGCTGATGTTGTTTTAACTAACCATCCCTTGGGAGATGGTGGGATCCGCCGATCGCGCTCTTAGGTGCACCCACACAGTCTCTCTCTCCCCCACCTCTCTCTCTCTCTCTCTCTTTCTTTTTTTTCTCTCTGTTTTTTCTATTTCTCTCCATCTATCTTTCTTTCAACTGCCCCATTTCGAACTCTTCTATTAAACATTCAAATAATCTATAAACAACATCGTCAACAACAAACTCATCAGCAACAACAACATCATCAGCAACAACAACAATAATAAAAAATTGTTATCTGCAGATGACAGCTGTGCTATTCTCTACTCTACATAGACCTCATTTTGTGCAATTAAATTTGTTTGTAATTAATTTTAATTTTTTCAACTTAGTTATGATGATGATAACAGAGGTGTTGTTGTTGCTGATGATGATGACGGAGTTTTTGAGTTGATGATGATGATTGCAATAATTTAGTCATGTTGATGTCCACGATGATGAAATGAACGAATGAGTGAAGAAATGAATGATTAATTAAAAGATTGATTGATTGATTGATGATATATATGTATATATATATATATATATATATATATATATATATATATATATATATATATATTTGACATTTTATATGGAAACAAATGCATTTACAACACAAGACTTTCAACTATATTTAAATTTAAATTCACGATGTAACTCCAGACAGACTTACTCAGCCACACAATGGAGCTCTTGTTGTTATATTTTTTGCTTTTCATCAACTACACAGGTGATGACGATGACGTTGTTATGACGTAATTATGACGTAATTGCATTGTTGTAGCGATGATACGTATTTGATGTTCTTGAAGAAGAGATGTCTGAAGGACAAGTGCACATCCACACATGCAGGATCTAAAAACAATTGAGTTAAAATGTACGATAAAATATGGCAGAGTGTGGTGTTGAATTTCATCCCACAATCTTACACACCATTGTTATTATTATTATCATCATCATTTATGGTTGTGGTTGTTGTGTGTGTGTGCGTGTGTGTGTGTGTGCGTGTGTGTGTGGGTGTGACATTAATTTTTCATAATTGAAGACATGGATTTTTAATAATTTAAATAGACAACAAAATATTTGTGTACCCTTAGTTGCACACTTGGTTTTGCATGTGTTCTGTGCACACATATTTCGTACGCACATTTCGTACACTCAAATATGTACAACTTGTTTCTCATCTTCTACAGGAACATTCACATAACTATTTAGTTTCTACTTATGCTTGCAAACAACCAACATGTATGACACATACATACACACGCACACAACACACGCACACACATACAAACACATACAATCATACACACAAACACACACCCACACAGATATTGTAAACAATAAAGGATTACTCAGATGAATAACGTTGGAGAAAAAATTTTTTTTGCCAGCGAATGATGATGTTGCTGATGACGATGATGATGACGATACTGATGATGATGTCATTATTTATTCATTGTGGGTGACTCATTCATTCATTCATTCATTCATTCATTCATTCATTCATTCATTCATTCATTCATTCATTCATTCATTCATTCATTCATTCATTTATTCATTCATTCATTCATTCATTTATTCATTCATTCATTCACTATCATTATATTTTTCAATATCATCACATCATCATTATTTTATTATTACTATGCTGTTTAATTAGTATCATCATAACAACAATAAAATTAATAAATAATATTAATAATCGCGGTAGAGAATTCTCCGGATAAATTTGCATAGTAGGTTATATTAACAAATATTTGCCACCGCATAACTTGAATGAGTTTGTGCAAATATCTTAGGAGAAAAATATTTTGGTTTCGTTGTCGTTGTCGTTGTTGTTGATGATGTTGTTGTTGTTGATGATGTTGTTGTTGATGATGTTGATGATGATGTTGTTGATGATGTTGTTGATGATGTTTTGCTATTGTTGATGTTGTTGTTGTTGTTGATGTTTTGATGATGTTGTTGTTGATGTTGTTGTTGTTGTTGATATCTTTTGTCGTTGCATTTACGACATGAACGTTCAAGGAAGTGTGCTGTTTATTGCGTAATAAAACATGTAAGAAGAACATGTGCGAGTGTGTGTTTGTGTTTGTTTGCCTGTCTCTTTATGTGTGCTTAGTGTTTGTTTGTTTGTTTGTGTGTATGTATGTATTATGGTTTGTGTACGTGACAGATGGCTGCGTGCGTGAGTTTAGTTTTGAATGAATGAATGACTAAATGGAAGTTGCAAGAGTGAATGAATGGACGAAAAAATTATAAAAAATGGTCGGACGAATGAATGAAGGGATGAACAAAGGAACGAGCCAAAAATGACTAAACGATCGATCGATAGTTAGACAGTTTGATGAGTAATCCTGGCTGCATGTGGATACACGAGCCTAATAAAGGACGACCAGGATGATGACGACGACGATGATGATGATGATGACGATGATAATGGTGTTATTGATTATTTTTACATAATGTTCTATGTTTTGCCTGCTTTGAGATGACTTAACGAGTTTCATTGTTTTTTTAGAACTAGCCGTATGTCATGAAACTAATAGGTTGAGCTCTAGGAGGAAATATATGAAGTTGAACATTCTCCCACTTGAGTTTGAAAACCTTTCTGAAAGACTCTCATTGTAACCATCGTTTGTTAGTGTAATTTTTAATTCATTTGGAATATCACCCATCGGTTTTAAGGACAATTTTTACTTGTTTATTCAAAGTTTTATGATGAACTAATAAAATTTGTAATGACATCATCGTACAGCGACAACCTGTGATAGAATTTTAAATATTTTCACCATCCAGTGGCACTGGTCGGAGCCAGGCAGTAAGCTGAACACTCTACTGCTTCTACTTTCTTTTAGGACAATAAAAGATTTTGCATTTTTAACTTGCCACACTTGTGTAGTGGTACATGATAAGACTTTGCAATGTTCCTTTACCAGCCAAGTACGTACGTGCTTCTTGTTTGTTTGGGTAACATGGATCAATCTCTTCATATTATTAGTTCATTAATTTTAGTTTAATAATAATTATAATAACAATAGCAGCATAGATAATGTACAAATTGGTATTAATAAATAAACTGACATGATGGCCGCTTAGTTTTTCATTGAGGAATTTAAAGAATTAGTTGATTTGTTTGTGTGTGCGTGTGTGTGTGTGTGTGTGTGCGTGCTTGGGTCTTTATGTGTAATTCTCAGTTATGGCTTATATTTTATGTATCTGCGTGGCTATGTTTGAATACCTGAAGGTTTGTTTGTTGTTGAGGATGGTCTGTTGATGACTCTGTGGAAGGTTAATTGTTACAACAACAACATCTTAACCTTCTTTTAATACATAAACATAACGTCACGTGATCTATTAGTAACAATTATTTCTTCTCTCTTTGTCTCTCTTTCCTTCTCCTTCTCTCTTTTTTCCCTCTTTTCTCACTCACTCTCTCTCTCTCTTTTTCTTTTCTATTCTCTCTCCTTTTCTTTCATCTTTTGTCAGTTTTTCTGCATCTGAATAATTGAGAACCAAAAATCTTAAAATATGCTTGCTGCTGGTTCCATTCATCCATCCATTTATCCATCCATCCATCCATCAATCTAGCCATCCATACATCCATTTTTTTATTGGTTCATTCATTTATTATTCTTAATATCTATCCTTCCATCCGTTTCTATTCTTCTTTTGATTAATTGTAAACACGTGAAGCGTTAGTGTCATCATTGTCACATGCCATCATTCCCAGCCAACAAACAAACGAACGAACGAACAAACCAACGAACCAACAAACAACCGGACAAACAAACAAACAAACACGTATACAAACGAACATACAACAATTTTAGCGAGATTGTTTTGAGAATTAGAAACGTATTTGTATTTTATTTAAAAGTTTGTTGGCAGTTTGCCATGTTCTGTGTGTATTAAATTGCTTCCAAAACATTTCATCATCATCATAATTTTGTCATCATCATCATAACTGACGACGACGATGGTGATTGGTTGTGATGCAGTTAAAATAAAGCAGGTTTTGAATGTTTAACATCAATGAAAGTAGACCAATAAGATTACATAGATAGATTGGTTTAGTGAATGAATGAATGAATGAATGAATGAATGAATGAATGAATTAATGAATGAATGAATGAATGAATGAATGAATGAATGAATGAATGCATGAATGAATGAATGAACACTGATGGTGATGATGGCAATGGTGATAAGGATTGTGATAATGGTCTTGATAGCTAGCCTACATAGAGAGCAAGTTCAACCCGACAGGCAAAATTATTCCGATTGACGGATTGAAAGATGAAATAAAAATAAGATTTAAATAAAAACTTGAATTGGTGATGATAATGATGATGATGATGATCATGATCATGATGATGATGATCAAGTTCAAACATATGAGCAAGATTTGTAAAAAATTGAAAAAGATAGGTGTAATGTGAATGTATGTGTATATGTATGTTATGTTTGTATGTATGTTTGTATGAATGTATGTTTGTTTGTTTGTTTGTATGTATGCATGTGTGAGTGTAAATACGTATGTATGTATGTTTGTATGTAAGTTGGTGTTGGAATGTTTGGAAAAACAAGCCATTTTTAAGCTAGTATGTATGTACGTAGATGTGTTTATATTTTATGCATGTTCAATTGTTAGTGTATGTATGTGTTACATTGTAGATACGCATGCGTGCCAGCTTGCTTGTTACGATGAAGAAGAAGATGATGATGGTGAAGATGATGGTGAAGATGATGGTGAAGATGAAGATGATGATGACGACTAATTGTTTAATTGTTATTTATGACAGAGAAACCAATTGTCTTCAATCACGTTTAAAAGGCTTACACACGTGTATACGTGAACTCACATACACACATACACAACACACACATACACAACATACACGCACGCACGCAAACTAACATGTGGCTTACAGCGATTTAAGATAATGCATAATGTACTTAATAATTAGTTTTTTATTGAATTTAATTATTAATCAAAAGTTCAGCCATTCAACCAACCAGCCAACTGAATAGATGATCAATCAATCAATCAACCAACCAGTCAAACAAAATTTCAATGCAAACAAACATACATACATACATATACATACATACATACATACATAATATTTGTTTCAAAGTAATTTTTTAGTACTGCTTAAACTATTTTGAACGCGCAGTAAAGAAGGAAATGAGAGTTGAGGTAGTTTGATGGGATGAAACATTTTATTGCGCGAATGTTTTGCTCTATTTGTTGTTTTGCTTCTATGCCGGCATGCATTTGCAACATGAACACGAGAATGTAAATTGTATTTAGTTATCTTTGGTTATTTTTCAGACAACAGCAAAGAACTAGCAGCAGCATCGTTCGTCGTCTCTCCTTCGACATAATTCTTTATGATTTGTAATTTGGAAAGTCGTGTGAAGTGAAGATAAAATCCTAGACATCATAGCCCCTTACCTAGTTGATTGAAAACTTGTCGTTGATTCGTCAGGAGCTAATGACGTCATTATCATCAATTTCTTGCCGTTCAATCATGATCAATAAACATTCCAAAGGGTTTGATGATGAGATTGGTCACGTATCGTCGCCGTCATCATATTGCAATTTATCATTTTCATCATTATCAACATCTTATCTTCCATCTAGATCATCATCATCACCGATGCGATCGTCATCAGCACCATCATTGTGTATGATGAGGTCGATGACGTCACCCAGTGTGACGATGTTGGCGATGCTGGCGCTCTTCATGATGATGATGATGATGATGCTCTTCACGAAACCAGCCAATTGCACTCTACTGCACAACAACAACAACAATAATAATAATAATAATAGTTCTAGCAATAGCAATAATAATAAAGATGCTAATCTAGTAAATATAAGCGCTAATAACAATACCACTAATCGCGATGGCCAACATGCTGAAGGGCAGAGCAGTACAAACGATAATCATCATCATCATCATCAACATCATCATTATCACGACAAACAGCATCATCAACATCATCGTCATCAACAACAACAACAATTACGTCATCACAGACGTCATCATCCCAGGCATATCTCCGATGCAAGCGAAAAAACTGCAAGAAGATTTGATGCTGTGGTTAGTTTTTGTTGCTGTTGTTATTATTATTATTATTGTTATTATTTATTAATTATTATTATTTAGCAAACAACTATAATCACCACCTAATTAACAGATAATTACAATGTGTGCTTAGCAGTATTATATGTCTTTTATTTTATGAAAACCATTTAATGTGTGTGAGTGTGTGTGTTAGTGTGTGTGTGTAGGAGTTAGATCCTTTTGTTGCAAATTATCACCATCACCTTTGATTATTAAACTTTTATAAATGACCAGTTCATAATTGCTTATTAATAATATCACCAATTCATACTACATACTACTACAGCTGCTACTACTTCTACTACCACTACTACCACTACTACTACAGCTGCTACTACTTCTACTACTACCACTACTACTACCACCACTACAGCTACTTTTTTACTTTGGTAACTACATTCGTAATATAAATATTATCTACTATATTATTTTCATTAAAATTATGAATGATCATAAATAATAATAATTATTATTATAATTATGATTATAACTTTCTAGAGTTACCTCGAGAAGTACGGCTACCTACCTGGTTCGGATGCCGAGACACAAGCCATGCGGTCCAAGCAGGAGTACATGAACGCCATCAAGAAATTGCAAAGGTCCTTCTTATTACGCTCATAATTATTTTAAAGTAATAATTATAACAATCATTATTATAATAATAGTTATTATTATTATTATTAATTCAACCAATCAAAACCTACCAACAGGTTTGGTGGCATTCCTGAGACAGGCGAAATTGATGAGGCCACTAGAAAGTTGATGAAAAAATCGAGGTTCGTTCGTTCGTTCCTTTGTTTTTTCGTTCGTTTGTTCGTTAGTTCGTTCGTTCGTTTGTTCGTAATAATTTCATAATTTATATTTATTATAATTAATAGTTTTGCGTAAAACTCATCAGGTGTGGCCTGGAGGATGTGATGAAACGCGATCAAGAAGGCAGCATCAGCAGTCCGCAGAGTTTCATCAGCAACGGCGGAAAACTTGCCGACATCCCAAAAAGATATCAGCTGGGATCTTCTAAGTGGGAGAAGAGGTGCATGAGTCATTCATTCATTCATTCATCAACTTATTCATTCATTTACTCATTCTATTTTTGCTCATTCACTCACTCATTCACTTACTCACTCACTCACTCATTCACTCACTCACTCACTCAAAGGTGGCTGACCTATCGAATCCTCGATTTTTCACCCGACTTGGACGCGGAGATACAGAGGCAGACGATGAAGGAGGCGTTCGAGATGTGGTCAGACGTGACGCCCTTGCAGTTCACAGAGGTGAGCACTGGTCAGGCCGATATCTTCATCAAGTTTCCAAGCAGAGTCCATGATGATGGCTTTCCGTTTGATGGGCCCGGTTGGATCATTTTTCTTCGCTCTCCAACTTTTTTAAAAGTTGGAGAAGCAGGCATAGATTGATGTGCTTATTAATGATAACTGTCAATGCTTTATAAAACCATTTTTCATATATATATATAGTGTGCTTTTGTGATGTATGCCTGCCTCTGTGTGCTTCTGATTGATTCAAGTAATTGATCAATTCATTCATTTGTCCTTTCATTCATAAGTTGATCCATCAATTCATCCATTCATCATCTCATGCATGGTCAGGCAACACGCTGGCACATGCATTCTTCCCTGGCGACGATAGGGGGGGCGATGTTCACTTTGATGACGACGAGCACTGGACCATTGATGGCGGCAACGGTGAGGTGGTGGTGATGATGATGATGATGATGATGATGATGGTGATGATGATGGTGATGATGGTGATGATGATGGTGATGATGATGGTGATGATGATGGTGATGATGATGGTGATGATGATGGTGATGAGTTATGGCAGGCGGTTAGTTAGCAAGTACATTTATAGAATATTTTGATCGGCTGTATTTCCATTGTGGGTCAAATCATTATTATTATTGTTAGTTACTATTATTATTGTTAGTTATTATTATTGTTGTTGTTGTTGTTGTTGTTAAATTTTTCATTTTGATTGAAGTGAATTGCTCTTGGCAATGTTTTATTGGAATGGGTTTCCAACTAAGATTGAGCTGTTAGCTCAGCAACATATATATACATATTCAAACACATGAACATATATATATATATGCACACACACACACACATACATACATACAGATTAACAAATATTTTAACATACAAACGTAAACATACATCACATGTTCAAGAAAATTGAACAGAAATAATCTGTTTTGTATAAAATGAAGTGAGGTAATGTGACTCAGTGTTGTTGCTGTTGAGTTGAATCATGTGATGAATGGTTGTTGATGTTGATGATGATGTTATTGTTGTTGTTGAAACGCTGATGGCTTCATGTACAATTTTTTAAATATTTCGTTTTAACTTTGGAGCGTTTTAGTTGTGGTAGGTAGGTGGTTAGGTAGGGATGAAAAAATGTTGCCCCTTTCATTTTTTAAATTTAATTCTTTCGTTTGTGCTTTTCATTTTTGTCTATCTTTCTTTCTCTCTTTCCAACTTCTGAAAACATTTTTAAACACTTAGCTACGCACTTGAAAAGTTTTTCAAAATTTCTCTTGTTTATATCGCCTCTATTCCATTCTTTTCATCTTCATTCGTTCATTTTCTTCAATCTCTCACTTTTCTTGTTTTACTATTCGTTCGTTTTACTCTTCTCCACTCTCTCTCTTTCATTCATTCATCCATTTTTTGATTTATTCATTCATTCATTCATTCATTCATTCATTCATTCATTCATTCGTACTTGGGTATTTTTTTCATCAAGTTTGTTAGCACATTTGCTGATTAGTTCAGCAATTATCTTCCTTGAAAGTTTTGGTGCAAAGTATTCTTTAAACATTTTCACAAATTATCTGGGTTTTTTTTCTATTTTCACTAACTGCATCTTGAATAACTTTATTGATTGCTCATTCATTTATCCATTCACTCACTCATGCATTCATCCATGCATTCGTCCAGGTACCGACCTGCTGGTAGTGGCGGTCCATGAGATTGGGCACTCACTGGGCATCGGTCACTCGGGCATGGAGGAGGCCATCATGTTTCCCTGGTACTCAGGCTATGATGGAAATTTGAAGTTGAACGATGATGACGTCATGGCCATCCAGGAGTTGTACGGTAGTCATTTCAGCTGGCTTCATTAGTTTTTCTCTCAGGCGAACTGCCCTGTACATTTTTATGTGTTGGTCCAATCGAACTTCACGCACTTTCACTCGACAGGAGCCAAATCAGACGGATCGTCGTGGTCGAAAGCCACGAAGAGAGCGACCACCGTGAGGCCGAGGACGACGACCAGAGTGCACCACCACCAACACCACCAGTTCGGCGAGAAGGCTGACGAAACTTGCGAACAAACCTTCGACGCCATCGCTAACTTGAGGAATGAAATTTTTTTCTTCGTCGGGAAGGTTCGTGTCACTTTTCATTTCGTTGCTTTTGTAAGCATTTTGTGTGATATCTGCACTTCTGAAGTATATGCTGCCTAATGTTCATCTGGTAAACATTCACCTTTCTCTGACAACCGAGCACAGAAGCATCACCGAATATTCAACTTCGGCGAAATATTCTACCCATCGCTGGATGTCGCCAGCTTCTTCGTCGACCTGCCCCCCACGTACGAGAAAGTTGATGCCGTCGTTGAGACCAGGGATGGCCTGAAACTATTCGTATTTATCGGTCGGTTATTTTCAAATCATTTTCTTATTTAAGCTAGCAAATTTATTATCTTAACTGATTTACAATCGTCTTTGCTTTATTCAATCTAACTGGGCTTTCAATACATCTTCTTCTTTTAATTGATTGTCTAATTTATATTGCTTTATAGCAGTAGATTAGTTTATTACGTTGATGTTTACGATCGTCTTTCTCACTTGACTTACAATTCAGGAAAGAGGTACTGGTTGATGAACGGAAACAGGTTGGAGGGCAGGTGTCCGACGGAGGGCTACCCCCTCACGAACCTGGGAATCTCGGAGGAGGTCACTCACATGGACGCAGGATTCGTCTGGAGCTACAACCAGCGGACCTACTTTGTATCCGGATACCAATATTGGAGGTTGAATGAGACCACAATGATGGTCGACTACGGATACCCACGTGACATGAACTTGTGGGAGGGGGTTAAGATTCCCGTGGATGATGCTTTCACCAACCCAGAACGAAGTTCGTTTCAGTTCTATCCTAAATCCCACTCCAGTTTTGTTACAATTTCACACTGAATTTCTATTTTGCGTCGCGACACCACTTAGCAATCATGTCACATCAACTGCAGATAAAACTTACTTCGTGCACGGGCACGACGTCTGGGAGTTCAACGATATGAGGATGAGGATCAGACCGGAAAGCAAACGAAACCTGAATCAGTTCGTCTTCGGCTGCCCGGAGAGTCTCCTGAAAGAAAATGAGCCGACGGAGAGCGACGCCGTGCAGACGTACAGAGACAGGACTGGTGACGTTGACTATCTCAGTAGCTCCTCAACTGCCAACCACAACGGCCTGATTTCAACCATTCAGTTCTATTCAATCGCGACCATCTGCGTTGTTAAGTTTGTTCGTTTTTAACTTTTTTTTTAATTTTTGTCATTTCAAGATCTAGAGTGTCGTTTCATGTTTGCGGCGATGAATAAATAGTTTTATATCTTTGATACATGACTAATACCTAACTGTGTACTTACTCAGTTGTAACGTCAGCTTGCTTGCGTGTTGTGGGCGATTTATTTCTTGTTACTTCACTTTTCAGTTCAACTAATTTTTTCATTTCATTTTTGACATTTGCAGATTTGATTATTAGGAATTGAATTTTCGAGTATTATAATTATTTATTTAATTATTTATTTAAAAGTGAATTCAATTAGAAATGGTAATCTTAATATTTGTTTGATCGACCTAAATTCCATTTTTTTGTCTTCATCGAGAATTTTTAAATGCAAACTCTTAAACTTCTAAAACCAAAGCATATATGTAAATTAAATATACACGAATACCGGCACACACACACACACACGCGCACACACACACACTGGTAAGTTAGGGACACACACACACACACACACACACGCACACATGTTTCCCGTGCACTCATTCGGTTGTGCCATCAATTTTAATTCTTCAGAATGTCAACGTAATATGTTGTGGCCATTAATATTCATAGATAGCTAACAGAATGTCATTTATTAGCATTTCATTACAAAGTGTCATTCATCATCAAGAGCGTCACCATCCCATCACATTAAGATAATAACTCATGCCACCATAGCTGAGTATTTCCCACGTTTCAAACCTGTGATTTCAGTTCAGTATGTAGGTATAGTGTTATATATATACATATATATATGTTTTGTGTTTTTTATTACATAATGTTTGTTGCATATTTGTTGCTGCTTTATGAGATATTTAATTATTTAAAAGTTAGATGAAGGATGATCATTTTTTTTATCTCTGCCTATATTAATTGTAAGCCTTATATTTCTTATATTTAATAAATAGATGTACAAGAACGTATATATATATATATATATATATATATATATATATATATATATATGTTTATATATATATAATTATGTATGTACACACTATGTATGTACACACTAATATACTAACATACATACTTAATTATCGTCATCAAATTATAGCGAAGAACATCAAACCAAACGTAAGTCTCTTTTTAGTCTTTTTATACACACAATTTCAGTTGTTTTAAATTTTTACATCAGCGTAACGTCACTTATGTGCACATGTATATATATGTGATATATACATTATATGTATGGTACTTGATATATACGTGTTCGATATATGCAATCGTTTGATTTATGATATAGACATGCACCATATTTTTTTTAAACGTAATAGACGAAATTCATTTATAGCCGTTTAAATGTGTTTCTTACTTAAGATCTATTATATATGTATATATATTTTATTTATATATCTAATACTTATATTCATGTGTATGCACATGCATGTATACGTCCACACTACACCACCCAACCATCTATCTATCTCTCGTGTTGTTAATAAATGCTTTTAGTGTACTTTTCATTTCAGTTTGATCTTCTCGGTCATCAGAGTTTGAATTTTATAAACGGATTTGTTAGTTTTTTTTTACATTTTGAAAATATATTTAAGTTATTTTGAAATCTTTCGTTAAACTTTCCCTCAAAAACTCATATTTAGTCAGTTCCTCTTTATCTAACTATGGACCTATGGCTAATGTGTTTTATTTATAATAGAGAAAGCTGTTTATAACAAATTATTTTTTACTTAAACGCTAACACTGCTACTTCTCACTCATCTTCTTTTGACTCCGCTCACAGTACTTGAAAAGGGTTTTGAAAAACTGATGCACTCTATAGATTTTTGGGGAAAACCAGAATACATTTAAGCGGCGAATGGTCGCCTAACCCTGTTTGGCAGTGCGTGCAGTGACCAAGTTGGAATATGACAAACGCATCTATTTCCGCCTATCAGATGCTCTGTGTGTGACGCGTCGTTTAGCAGGTATGCTGTTAGCTTCATCGATATATGGTAACTTGAAGCGACCGAATAATTATCATTCCCCTAATCCAATACTTAACACTCGCCATGGTTCTATTTCTTTGAATGTGGCGTTGACATAGTGAATTAAACTAGTATTTTAATTGAATTATTGATACTGACGTTGATAAATTTGGAGATATCAATCAAAAATATTTAAAAACATGATAAAAAACACTGACGACCAATCATTCATTTATTCATTCATCTGTTCCTTCTTTCCTTTATTCATCCACATCGCTCCAATTGTCTTCCGAAAATCTGTTGAAACCAACATCATTGTTTAAGTCCCTAATATTTCTCTTAACCTCCGGTGCGTTTCGAACGCTTTTTAATCGTTTTTTGCGATCGTCATCAGCATCACCATCATCATCATCGTCATGAGAGAAAGCGTCCCAGAGTAGAATGTTTCGATCACGTGCTCCAGTTATCAATTCGTATTGGTCGGATTTGAAGAGGCAACAGTTCACCTGCTTGAAATGTCCCTGCAGAGTTTTTATCTGCGTGCCTGAGTGAGGATACATTGATTAATCTATAAATTTATTGAACGAATAAATTAAGAAATGAGTAAAAGAATGAATGGATAAGTGTATAAATGGAAGAATGAACGAAGGAATGAATGATCAATCTAACCATTGAACACATCCAATATAGTGACATTTTCTGAGTTAGGAACGAACGCATATCGGTCACAACACGCCATCCTCAGTCCAACTTTCGAATCATTTGCGATCATTCCATAGTTGCAGAGCAGGTTTTTCCCTGATTGTGAATCCCACAGCCTCACGTTGTTGTCTGTTCCGAAACTGAGTAGGTGGAGGCCATCTTGAAGGAGTAGAATGCTGTTGACCACCCCATCGTGGGCCCTGCCATCTTTATTTCAAGTTTTTCACGGAGAGATTATTTAAATTTAACAAACTTAAAGTTCGTTAAAATTATTCAATGTGTGAAAATAAAAATGCAGCAGCAAATAAATGAGTAAATGTATGAAAAAATGAAAGTTATACAGGTCAAAAAATTATTTAACTGTAACTTTGTTGAAGAGCACTGGGGTTAGGACTTGCCTTGTCATTAAACCTGGTGTTGTTCTTGTCAAACTTCAACAAGCAACTTTTTGATCTTCTGATGTCCCATAAGATTATATGGCCATCTTTTCTGTTATTTTCAATTCAAGTCATTCAAAAATTAAATAAAAATTACAACATGAATATATTTAATTATTTAAAACTAAATTTAATTATATAAAACAAAATGAATGATTTAAGTGCAACAACAAAAATGAAGACCCAGCAGAGTAAAGATGGTGGTTATTGCTGGCTGACCAGTAGAGGTCAAGCACAACTCTTTGACTGTGGCCTGTCAATTTATGTGAGAAAGACCCAGATGTGATGTCAACGAGTTGAATCTTGTCACTATCACTGCCCACAGCAATTATTGGCTTGAAGCCTGCCATCTTGTGACAATTAACACACTCTTCAAATGTAAACTGAGTGACAACCTGACAAGATATTTGAAAAACAATTTAAATATGAAAGAACCATTTTCTATTAATTGAACAAGATTTAATTATTATTTAAACTGCAAAACTTTTAAATTATTAGAATCCCATAGTTTCAGCAACTTCTCGCGCCCACTTGAAGTGAAGATGCCTGTGTCGTGGGGATACCACTGAATGCTGCCTACTGAAAAATAATGTCTATCTTCATTGGTGGCATCTATTTTTGATACAACTTTGAATATTCTTGGTGAGGAAGATGAGGATGGAGGAGTGTGCAAATCATGTATGAATATGTTACCATTGCCAGCAGCAGATAGCAAACTAGAGACATAAAATAATTTAATTTGATTAAATTGATTGACTTATTAATATTAATTTAAAAAATAAAAAGATGATTTTTTAGTGTTTAGTCAGTAGTCTAGTTCTAGTTGTAAATTTGTTTAACAATTGAAGTTCAAACTTTAAATAAAATTATTAAATTAATTATTTTAAATAATTAAATAAAACAAACCATAATTTTTATTTAATTAATAAATTAAAAAATAAAATGAATCACCAACAATAACAGCAACAGAACAGCTCAAAAGTAGGTGTTGTAAATAAAACACCATCAAAAATAGAAATAAGTCACAACTGAACAGACGTTACTCTCCTGTTCCAGCCCAATTTTGCAAATCGTGTTAATTCCCAGCCAACCCAACTTACTATCTCTGGCCGTTGGGATCCAGGTCACAACAATTGACGTTGGCAGTGTGGCAAGATTCAAATTCATGACGAGAACTCAAGTCTAACGACTCTATCCTATTTTTTATAAATATCTTGTCCAATCTGTCACTTTTGTTATTTAAATTGTATTCTCTTGAAATTAACGCTTTAAACATTTAATTAGATTTATTTTGTTTTCTCACACCGGACGATCTTTGGTAAACTTTGAGAGCTTACATTTTGGAAGTTTTACTTTTAAATTGAAGGCTTAATTAACGGGATTGAGCTAGAGCCGCACTGCTTTTAATGAATCCATCCCATCTTGTTGAGCTTTTAGTGATTGAGCTAGTCAATCTTTTTTTACTTATTCCATCTTGTTAAAACTTTATTAATATTTTATAAAATAAACGACGTAAAAAATCAAAATTGTTTTTTGAACAACTATCTTCATTATGTTCAATAAATATATTACAAAATTACAAGATTTGATAATGGAAATCCCGACGTTGTCAAATGGCCGGACTCAGCGTATTTACTTTTAAAATTTAATTTCAAATTTGTCGTTTGTTATTTGCTTGCTATCAGTTAAATAAATTAAAAGATGTTGAAAAATGTCTTCAGATCATTTTTTCTTAACCCACGACGTGTGGCCGATTTGTTCTGCAAATGTCGTCGTTCGTCACTGGCCAGGGAATGGCAGGAGAAGACATTGTCGGCCAGGTTGTCACTGCTGAAAACGAGCTATAAAGAATTTGAGTGGGATCTCTTCAGAGTGTTGAGCGAAAATAAAGACACATTTGTGCTGTCTAAATTTACATATGGTCTGAACAAATCTGGTCTGAAGGCCAATGACGAGAGATTATATTCGGTTTACAAGAAAATTGAGGAGTTGAAATTGAAAAATAAAGGATTGAGAGAAGAAGAAATACGAATAAATTTCAATGAAATGAAAGATTTTCTTGCTGATAATGTTTTTTTAATCAGACAGGCTTTTGTCAATAACATGATTGTGCCCCACTTCTCAGACTTCTGTGTGAGGGTTGATGATCTCTACTGGGCCTGCAGGCGAAATCTGACTGGAAAAGTAATTTTTCTTTTTATTTTGTGCTTGTATTTGTACAAAATAATTATTTTTAACATTCATTTTTAAAAATTTGTCATTTTTCTCAACAGATAACATCCCACTCAAAAGTATTATATGGACAGAAGTTAGAATCTTGGGCAGTTTCATTGTGTACGATTGATGGCCAAAGACATAGCACTGGGGACTATGGAACACCAGTTGTTCTTCATACTTGCTGCACGCCTGTTAATTATGCCTTAGCCATCAATGAACATGGAGCCAATATTGTTAACCAGTACATCTCCAATGAACCCATTCCAAGAAACAAGGATGTAAATAAAGTTTGTATATATTATTTTTTTTATTCATTTAATTTTTTTTACTTAATTATTGTTTTTTTTACTATTAAAGGTTTTATATTTATCACCATCAAATGTTCCTCAAAATCCAATTGATGTTGCAGGTTTGTTTGAAATTTGAATCATTTTTAGATGTAATTAAATGATGATACAATTCATAATCCTGTTAATGAAATCTTTCAACTGTGTTGGAGTGATGTGTTTTTCCAATATTAATATAATTTTCAGTTCATTTGTAATGAATTTTTCATGATATTGGTGTAAAATAACTTAAGTAACAACGCATTGATGTCTTATTTGTCCCTAGGTGCTCTTCTAGTTACGTCACTTCTCAATGTTACACAGAACTCTCAGCAGACTTTTGATAGAATTGTTGCCAGGTTGGATGATCCAACAATTTGTTTTATTAAAAATTCACAATAAATTGAAATTTGCAAAGTTTTTTTGGCCTAATTTTGCTCTATCTTTTAAAAACTATGTCATACTGGTTTAACATGAATGGTATTTATGTTCACTTGAAAATTTTTTATTTTTACATCAAAGAAGTTAATGTTTTCATTTTTTTTGTATAATTGAATACAATTTTAAACTCTCTCTCCCTTATGTGACCAACCTCACACACAATTCAGGTACAACGAAATGAGTGGCAGGACCAGCAAGAAGATAACGTGGAACAGAAGTTTCTACATCCACGAGAAGGGGGCGGAGTTAGGAATGCAGGCATATGCACACCACCTCAAGAACAATCTCTGCTTTCCATGTGGCACAGACATCAATGAAACTGTTGATCTGCTCTATAAGCTCTATTCCATTGAAATGTCTTCAGAAAGTTTGGCCATCCTCGCTGCCACTTTGGCTAATGATGGTGTTTGTCCGATCACTTGTGAGTCCTTTATCTGTCCGTTGGCTGTGATGTGATGTGGTGTGGTTGGATATGATGTGCTATGACGATGTGATGTAATGATGATATGACCTGATGGTTTGCAGTGGCAAGATGGTGGTGTTTGTTGTTTCAAATATTGCCTTGCATTCCCATGTGTTTAAGTTGGTTAGCAAAAGTTTTAAAGAATGGCATAAAGAGAAATTTAACTTAAATTCAATGCAACTAACAACCACGACAGCTGAACGAATATTCACCTCAGAAGCAGTTCAGTCAACCATCTCGATAATGCTCTCCTGTGGGATATCCAGCCACTTCTCCGTGAAGGTTGGCATCCCAGGAGTGGCAGGCATTTCTGGAGGGGTCATGCTGGTGTGCCCAGGTCTGTTGGGGGCTTTCCTCTGGTCTCCACCACTGAATGACCAGGAAGTTAGTGTTAGAGGGCTGCAGTTCTCCGAGAGACTCTCCGAGATTTTTGATCTGCACTATTTTTCATTCAGGTTCATGTTGTTGCTTGTACCATATTTGTGAAGAAACACAATAAACTCGCCTAAAAATGAAATATCTTTAAAATGTTATCACTCTTCAGGCCACCTGAAAATTGTTCATTCCCATACGACACCAACACAAACATCATCATCAGCAGCAGTAGCAGCAGCAAAACAGACCGACCACCACCACAACAACAAACCAACAACAGCAAACCAACAGCACCAACGACATCTCACCAAGTAGAAGGTTTTCCAGGAACACAAAAACTACAAAACAAAAGTTCAAGTAATGTTCAAGCAATATTTGCAGCCTCATTGGGTGACATTCAAGCTCTAAGGAGCCTGCACATGATGGGGCACAACATGGAGAGCCCTGATTACGATGGGAGGACCCCACTGCACCTGGCTGCATCTCAAGGAAGAATGAATGTTGTTAAGTTTCTTGTGGAGAAGTGTAATGTTGATATCAGTGTTAGGGACAGGTAGGTTGGCTGGTCTACATTACTCTTGCTGTTCTTCTTGATCGATTGATTGATTAATTAATTACCTAGCTAATTATTTAATTATTCCAGTAACAAATAGTAAGATTGACATATTTTAATAAGGTGGGGCGCAACTGCAGTTGATTGTGCAAGGACCGTCTTCAAGATGGAAGTTGTTAGATATCTTGAGAACCACCTCCAGAGTAAAGTGTTATCATCATCATCATTATCGTCGTCGTCGCCATTAACATCATCCTCACTGTCATCAGAAAATTCATCAGACACGGTCCCAACAAATTTGACAACATCATCAACTCCATCACCACCGAAAACATCATCACCATGGTGATTAGCATCACCACATTTCAATCATGATGTATAGAATGACCAAAGAAATATTTAGCCTGCAGAATAACATTATAAATCATTATTCATGATTTACACGTTCATTCATTCATTCATCCGCAAATTCCCTTCTTCCATTATTAAATTTAATTGAATCTTCATATACATACATCTACACATTTATATATATATCTATATAAATGTATATGTATTAGTTACCAGAGTATATATACATACACACACCCACACACATATATATATATATATATATATATATGGTCTCCTTCCAGCCTATATATACATATATACTTTATTCAATATTCCATTTTCAAACCCTACCCGGTCGGTACAATTATTGTTTCCATTGCACATTGTGAATACATTTATCGCGTTGTTAAACATTTTCATTTGTTACAATTCAAGCACACTGCAAACATGAATACATATATATATATATATATATATATATATATATATATATATATATATATATATATATATATATATGTGTGTGTGTGTGTATAATGTATGTGTGTGTATGTGTGTATGAGTACGCATGCACACACTCGCACACACATAATGTCGTACGCAACTACATAGCAGCAATAATCGTCATTTTCATCATTTGCTGATCATTAACTCGTCCATTCTTTCATTTACTAGCATTTCATTCATCCATCTAGCATTACCGTTCATTCACTCACTCATTGTCATTCATTCATACATTCATTCATTCGTAGTAACATTTTGAAAAGTTGAAGACCAATTACCCAGACATACACATCTAAAATTCAGCCGCAAAGAAAATGCAAATTAAAATTAATTTTCCAAAAATTTAAAATATCTATGAATATATATATATATATACATATATAACATAAAAATCGATTAGAAACAGAATAATGACGTCATTAGCAATTGAATAAAAATGCACCAGCAATCATAAATAAAGAAGTTTACTATTTGTTTATATACAATTACGTCAAACAGTATATATAATGCATATAATTGTAATAACTTTCTTATTATTCAGTATTATATTTTCGACTATATATACATACGTATATAAACATTTTATGTAATATATTTATAATGTTAAAATGCACGATTTTAAAGTTTGTTTCATATAGCTATATAACTGAGAACATATCAATCAATCCATCTACACATCCATTCATGCTTTTAAAATTCATTATTACGTTCGCTTACAACGTTTCGATTACATTAAGATAGAGGCATTTCGTCCGTTCAAATAATAAATAAGATGCTAACACGAACAAATAAGTACACATTCCTCTCACACACGCACGCACACTTAATTATACATATTTGTATTATGTTAGATTTTTTGTTGAACAATATTGCATGCCAATCAATATATATTATATATATATGTGTGTGTGAGTTTGTGTGTACATAATATATAGATAGATTAGTTGATTGAATAAATATAATTTTTGAAAAGTAGACACATCTGATCGAAACAAACACGCGTGGATGAATGTGGTTGAAACTAACTGTTAGATTTTTCTTTTTTAATTGAATTTAGAATTATTAACATTTGCAGCTAAGTAAATGTGTGTGTTTGTGCATGTGTGGTTGTGTATGTGATGTGTGTGTAATATAAACTTATCATCAACAACGAACGACAATGTGTGCTATATTATAATGTTGTACAAAAACAATATGAAGGCTGTGGTTTTTAAATTTTACATTTTCACTTTCTCCATTTCTCCCCTCTCTCTCTCTCTCTCTTTCTTTCTTTCTCTATTGACGATCAAATGATATAGCATACAAATGTTAAAGTACACATACACACACACATAATTACAACTGGAATCACATACGTTTGTATACATAAACTGAAAACTGTACACATCACATTCACACTAATGCGTCCATCAATCATTCTCATGGCATGATTGCATTACAAAAAAATTGTAAATTCTCTCTTCCACATCCACACATATGTATGTACAAATATTAACACACACAGACACACATACATATATATATATGTATTATATATACATACATACACACCAGAGATGCACAGAATAGTGAATTTGGCCGAAGACCAAATAGTTGATCCATCATTCATCCAAATAGTGAAAAACCCACAATTTAAAAAAATTACTTTTTTAGAATAAAGCAAGCTATTAAGAAAAGAGTGGCGACTTTTGCCCACCCAGCAATTCTTCATCGAGATAATGTTCAATCTCCTGTTCAAATTCTGACTGATGTTAAAACATACAGCTATGGCAAAAATAAATTTTCCGCTAATAATGTTCAAGAATTATCGTTCTAGAATGCGAAAAATATTTTGGAAGTAGCACTATCATTAAAATGGGGCATCTCTAATCGCACACACGTTACTCATGCATCAGATTTATAATTTTCATTCATAGCAAAGGACGAAACGAAGCAATGAACATTTACATTCAGCCACGCTCCACAACGTGCATTGGTGTTTGTTTCTATCTACAAATGTCGATACATTCTACATTCACACGTACATAATATGTAGAATAATCTGTAGAAACAAATACATTTTTATCTTGCCTTTCTAAATTCTGATGAAAATCAATAACTTGACAAAGCATTACGTGCAACAAAATAAATCTCTTATACACATCGTTAATATTACACGCACACACACACACATCAATAATCGTCATTTGCAAGTGGTTCTTTTTGATTCTCAATTCATAATTTACTCAGCAATTGATTGAGTTAACTGGTTGGCGAGTTTTTATAACTATTTCATGGCAACTAATTAATTTTGTCTCGAGGGTTGACGAGAGAACAGAATGAATGAATGAATAAATAAATGAATGAACTGGTAATATGATGAATCAAGGGTTAGTTTTTATTCATCATCATTACATTAGCATCAAACTGGCAAGCACATCATAAATAATCAACAAGCCAAACCAACAATTATAACACACACGCACACACACGATAGCAGTGGCTATTTTGAAGTTGGTGATAAACATCATGATGAATTTTTGTTGGTTGTCGGTTATCATGATAGTTCTGTTAGTTAGTATCATGATGCATTCGATTCGCCCTCGAAGGTGATGAGTATTCACTGGTTGTCAATCAACCTCACGGCTCCTCCTCCGGCATAATTACTTTTCATCTTTAAAAACTGAACGTTTTATTTTTCTATTCATAAATATTATTAAATTTCAAAATCGCTGATCAAAAATTGCCATCATTCATTATAAACTAATAAAAATCCAAAAAACCTGAATAACAAGTGACGGTCCTTCCACTAAAATTTCAGTCGGAATTTGACTGAGTGGACAGTTTTCAATGCTTAAGAATTGAAGTTTAGCACAATATGATAATTCGTAGGGCAGGCTGTTCAGGTTCGGGTTGTCGTTCACGTACAAAGATACTAGATTGTCGAGGTTACCTTAATATGGTTGATTTCAATTTTTCTACATATAATAAAAGGCTTCGAGCCCTTAACATTGTCCGTAACAAATGGCCTTCATTTTAATGATAGCCACAAAAATTCCCACACCTAATCCTAACTTAAAATAAAGGCAATAATCTCCCCCACCCACTTCATGAACTTATACATATATATATATATATATACATATATATATATATATCATGATCATATTTATATACAATTCAAATATTGTGAATTATATTTTACTAGACGTGTGAACCTATTTCTCTAGGCAATGAAGTCAGTTGGTTCTCGCCGGCACCCAGGTACGTCAAATTTTTCAAATTTCTGTTGTCGCAAGATTATATTTATTAATTATAGTTTTATAATTATGGTATATTGTCATAGTTATTTCGTTATGTTATAGTTGATGTACATGTTTGTGTGTGTCCGTCGTCTGAATTTTGCCAAAACATCAGCCAAGTTAGTTGAAGCATAATTGTTTTAATTGTAAATCTCGTTAATATTATTATGCCTCAAATAATATAATTAAAACTAATTATCCCAGACTAACCCAATCTGCCTCGGTAGCGAGGTTAGCTGGTTCGATTGCACGATCAACCTGTCAAGATCGCCCAAGTAACCTGAAATTATTTCAATATTCCACTATAATAATGGTTAATAGAGAGAGAGAGAGAGAGAGAGAGAGAGAGAGAGAGAGAGAGAGAGAGAGAGAGAGAGAGAGAGAGAGAGAGAGAGAGAGAGAGAGAGAGGCAGACAGATCAAACCAAGTGACAGGGATCATTCTAACCATTGCAAATATGACTTATGATGGCTATAAAGCAATAATAATAATGTAATTTTAATGAAATTAGAATAATGATTTCAACCAATTTCGACAGGTAATGTTTCCAGCTTGTTCTCCTCTACATCCAGAACTCTCAACTTTTTCAAATTTCCTATTGTCGACGGTAACCTCTAGAAGAAATATAAATTTATATTTAATTAATATAAATTAATATTTAATTAATAATATTATTAAACAATTTCACTATCACCATCGCCTAACTAACCCTTAATAGATTATTACTAAGCACGAGAACTTCTAATTTTTCAAGTTTTTCTATGTCATCAGGAATTCGACTGATCTGATTGGTTCCCAGGTTCAACTCCACCATGCTGCTCCAACTTCCCGTGTCTATTTTAGCATATTTGGTTCAGTTATTTTAAAATGTTTCCTATATTTTAGAAAAACAATCAGACAGACAAACAAATTATAAAATTTTGGAAGACGGAGGTTTGAGCGAACGCGATTCAAAAAACTGCTGAGTCATCATTATTTCAAGGATGAAGGCGCTTCTGAACTAACAAAACAATCACAGACAAGCAAACAAACAAAAACAGACCAAGTGGTAGGGAAGTCAACTGGTTATCCTTCATGTTCAACTTTGTGAGGTTGTGTGCTTGTGAGAAGATCCCAAAGGGAATTTTATTTATTTGGTTGTGATCCATGATTATTGTCTGCGAGTAAATAAAAATTCATCTTTAAATAGCCAGCCACACACTCGCACACACACACACACATACAGACAGAGGAACTAACAGCAGCAGTGCAGAACTGTGCAGGGCCACCCACTGGATATGATGTGAATGCATTTCTCGACAGAACAATGTTGTTCAACTTTACCAAGTTTGTTAGCAGGCCTTCCTATGTTCGTTTGACATTACGTACGTGTGTTTGTGTTCGTTTAATAGTAAGTATGTGCCTTACTTCATGTTATACATTGAGTATGTGCGCTCACGTCTGTTTAATGTACTTGTGGGCTTGTGAATGTTCATCAATTAAAATTTGGTCACAAAGTTAGCTCAGTCGGTAGAAGTGCCATATCTCGCGTTGTTATTACATGGTGACGTGGTTCGAATACCGTCCGTCCGAAACTCAAACGCGCATGATGCGGTGCTCACGCATGCGTGCATGATGTGTGTGGCGTCGTGTGGTGTGTGTGGCGTCGTGCGGTGTGTGTGGCGCACTGTACGACCTCTGTGGCAGGAAAGTTTGATTTCAATTATGGAACAACTGCAAGCTGCTCTGCGCTTGACAGGACGGCATTATAAATGGAAGAAAGTTAGCTACACTTTTATTGTTTTTGAATCATTTGCACTTGAATCACATGAACAATAACAACACTGCAACTCAAAATTGATACACAAGCACAGAGAGAAACAGAGAAAAACGAATAGAGAAGAAAACACACAGGTAGTTGAGAAATTGTGTTGCCTTCAACATTAAACTCTTCTAACAGTGTGCATCCATTCATTGTTTGTGGTATGCTGGTCAGTCTGTTGTATCTGTTGCAGGCAATAATAATAATAATAGTTTATATTACTTATCATAAGGAAATATTATAATTTCATAATTTATAATTTGGAAACAATTATAAGAAAAACTATAATGCATGATAATAGCCAACCAGCCGGCCAAAACAAACAAACGAACGAACGAACCTCAAGCCCAATCTAGTCAAGCCCTTCAAATTTCCAATGCTGTCAGGGATGTCTAGGAGTTCGTTGTGTTGCAGGTCCAAGTTGTTTATTGACCTGCACTCTCCTATTTCTTTGTGTGCAGAATTAAATGACTTGTAACGAATAAAAAATTATAACTATAATTGTAATAAATGTGAAAATATAATAAAATGTAAAAAGTATTTAAAAACAACGAAACCAGCTACGGACCAGCAACACAAACAACTACGCCAAACCAAACAACATACAAAAGAGCAGCAACATACCAGCAGGCAGATGCTCAAGATGGTTATGAGAAACATCAAATGTGTTTAACAGCGTCAAGCAACCAATTGTGCTCGGTAGTTCGTGAATCTTGTTCTCACGTAAACTCAAGTTTGATAATTTCTGCGTAGTAAAATACAAATATTCAAACAAACATACACACACACATTCATGCAAACGACATTCATGCATACATGCAAACGACATTCATACAGGCAGACAGACAGGCAGACAGACATACGTACATAGAAACAAGTAAGTATACCTTGAGATTGCCAATCTTCTCGTCGACCAGCTTGATCCTGTTGAACCTGAGGAAGAGGTGTGTCAGGGCTGTTAAACTGTACACAACCTGTGGTATCTGGGACAGTGTTTTCAGTGGGACCATCAGATATTCAATCAAACGATCAATCAGTCAATTAATCATTCAAACAACCAACCAACCAACCTCATTCAACTTATTATGCCTCAAATCAAGCCATCTCAACTTTGTTAACTTCTCCATGCTATCAGGCAGGGAGAGGATCGAATTTTCACTGAATGCCAACGTCTCCAGATTGACCAGCAGACCAATCTCCGGAGGCATGGAGACCAGCTTGTTGCCGTAACAGTACAATTCTTTTAGGTGTGTTAACTTTAGATGGGAGAAAAATTGGTGAAAAAAAATTGACTATGTTCTTTTTTTTGTTTTTTTCAGTTGAAAGATGGACAAATGAATAGATGTATATATAAAAATATAAATGTTGGTAAAAGACCATATTTTTTACAATATTCTATAAATTCTACCGAATGTTTGGCGTTAATATGTTTGTTGTAGTTTAGTGAGAAAAATCGAAAAAATGAACTACAAACATATTAACGCCAAACATTCTGTAGAATTTATAGAATATTGTATTAAAAAAATAAAAATGAACAAATAAATAAACAGAACAATAATTTACGAATGATATATATAAAGACTTACATCTTTAATAGTGGGAGGCAATGCTGTCAACTGTTTTAATGTTTCATGATTTTAGTGGTGTTAACATTAGTGTGACATAACGACGAGAAAGATGATGAGGTTGATGATACAAATGATGAATACAACGATGGTGGTGATACAGATAAGAAAACATACACCTAATACTGAAAGTCAACTAATTTACATGGTCTTAAGAATAGATAATTAATTAAAATTCATCAAATAATCCACCTGTATAGAAAAAAAAAGTTTATTTAGTTACTTTATACCTACCAGCTCTGTAATCTGAGCTCTGTTCGATTTTAATTAAATTAAAGACAATAGTAGTTGTAGTAGTAATACTAGAAGTGGAATAGTAGAAGCAGTTGTAGAAGCAGCCCTGCAAAATTAGAAAAAGGCTGCCATAACTGCCATATTATCTGTGACAAAGTGTGCTATCAGTTATAATAGTGGAGACACTAGCAAGAAAAGAGTAATATGATGATTAATTGAAATATCAAATAAAATACACTTGACAAACAAACATACAGACAAACATACAAACAAACAAACAGACAAACATACAAACAAACAAACAGACAGACAAATGTACAAACAAACATACAAACAAACAAACACAAAAAATTTAACCTGCAACTTGCACACATCTAATCTTATATTGTTCACTGGGTCTTCTCGACATTTTTGTAATATCTTTGATATATCCTGTCATCAAATAAAAAAATGAATGATTGATTGATTGAATGGACAATGGATAAATGAAAAAATGTAAGAATGAATGAATGAAAGAATAGTAATTATAATGACCACTTCAAATTTTTTCTTTCCTTTTTGTCTTTTTGGTTTCAGCGTTGGCCCCCCAGTTCCTTCCATGTGGACTCGTCTGTCTTGCTGGTGTTGCAATCAATATGATACAATATTTTATTTAATTACGATATAATTATATGTTGGTGTGGTTTCTAATTCAAGAAATATGCTATCCCATTATACACATTTTCATCATTAATAATCAGGTAGTCCCGAACTTCAACAATAATTAGGTAATCTCTAACTTTGTTAATGACATCAGTTTTAGTTACGGGTGTCGATGAGGGTTGCAGCTCTCTGATTGGTTGGCTGTCATCAGTGATGGATGGTAGATTGAAAATTTCTGGAGGTACATCACTGGAGTTTACAGTTACTGGTTCACCTGTTGTTGTTGTTGTGATGTTTTTGCTTGTTAGGACAATGTACTGAGCTCCCGAATAATCTGCAAGTCTAGGTCCGATTTCACCTGTAGGTGGGGAGGCTGATCCACCTTTTTTACTCATAATTAGCTTTCAAACAAAATGGCAGAAATATCAATAATTAAAGATACAGATGATGTTTTGCTGGTTTATTTTATAAGGTACTGATGATGTTTTGGTCACAGCAAACAAGACAACAGGCAGGCTGATTTATTGTTTGGTGTAATATAACCTTGTTAGTGAGTATGGCTTTTGATGAACTTGAAATTTGAATAAAATGGCTATAATTGATGTTTTTAATAAACTATAATCATCAAGTGCATTGTAATCTGCAACATTTTCTGGTTGGTGTTGAATCTTGAATATAATTACAAACAAGATGTAGGAGATAGTCCTGCACTATCACTGTTGAAAAGACTATTTTAAAAAAATAAATTGTGTTGTTTATTTTAAAAGATTTATAAATAAAATTGTAATAAAGTTTGTCTGCTGATTTTAATTTTGTTTGAAATAACTACATTTTTTGAAGTTCCTACTACTATTAACTAATATTTTGTTAGATAGATAAATAAAATAGTTTCTACTACTATGTATAATTTTATAATAGATAGCTGATAGATAGACTAACTAAAGCGCTAACTTTTGTTAGACTAGGTGATATAATTAAAAAAACCAATTTTATGTAAATTAGCAAAAAAATGAAACCAACCTAACTAACGTAACGGTAATATAAAAAACTTTCTCATTAAAATGACTTCAATATAAAAATAAAAGTGAAATAAAATTTCCCAGGGTAAGTAAATGAAATGAAATGTTGGTCTGAATGTTTTATTATCGATCGAAACGTATGAGAAAATTAAAGAATGCCTGAAACACCAAAATGGAGAATTATATTTTATTCTGTTTCAAATTACGAAAGTTCCTTGATTAGACTATTCACAATTTTAAATAAAAAACAAAAAACTAGCGATTTATATAATAAAGAACAAAGACTGCACTAATGTCATATTATTCGTGCATAGATAAATGAACGAACTTTCAAAAATTCTATCCAGGTTCCTCCTAGCTGGTTCCTACCCTACACGTACAACACTTGATTTTCATGCTCTCTATATCAAAGTTTTTAACCATTATGATTGCAAATACTTGAAAAATACATATGAATCTTTTTGTAAATACATTTATCTCTGTGAATATTCTTACAGATTTTAGGAATGGTTAACTTACAAACATACTATTATTATTTCTTATTATACCTTGATTCAACATATACGTGTTGTATAATATCATTTATTTATACTGAAGTATGTAGGTTTGTGTTATATAAGATAATTATAATCTAATGCTTATGCCAGGAAATTCAATGCTTATATTTTTGCTGCCGGTTTATGAACTCTATCTTCAAATAAGGTGAAACACGACCAAGATGGTGGCTCTCTCGAATTTGACTGCTGAGAAGGAGGAAGAAGGTCTTCGGAAATTCAAGGACATCTGGACATATGAAATGAACAAAGAAACACAGAAGAAACGTGATTACTAAATGATTATTGTGTGCATTTTCTATTGTTTAAAATCTTGTTTAATCAGGAAATTTCAACAATTTAAATATTGTGCATCTAGTCGTTTTTGCTCATTCTTGCACGCAATGACAACACAAGAGAGTAGGTTTTGAAGGAGCTTTCACTAAAAGTATTTATTTCAATAAAATAGTCAAAAGATTGAGATTTTTTAAATAAGATACATGACAGAAAATACTTTATACATTTTCTTCGCAAATATTATGACGATTTCTGTAAATATCTGAAAAATATTCATAAATTGTTGAACTTTTATTGAAGAATCCGATGTATTTAACACGAATTCTTTCATTCAATAAGGTCCCCATTATCAAATAAGCCTGGTTATTGTTAACACCAACTTCGAATTTATTGATCTTATTATATTTATTAAAATTAATATTGTTATAATTATTGTTAATAATATTTTTATTCATAATTCTCTTATTATTATCACCACGAATCCTGATACATTTACACTTCAAGCCATATTTCAGATACCATATATGTTTATCTCCAATAGAAAAACCTTCATAAGTTGAATTTGACGGCATTTTATAAAACTTTACCAGCTTATCATCATTATTATATTCATTATTACCATTAGTATTATTTGTCCATTTTATTGAAAGAAGTACCCTTTTTTTCGATTTTTCTCTTTTAACTCCGTCCAACTTCGCTCTTATAACTGTTAAATAGATGGAATGATTTATTAAATTTCTTAATAAGTATAATATATTTATGAATAATAAAGCGAATTAATTGTGAATTGTATTTAGGAAATTATAAAGATATTTAAACGAATTATTTTAAATATTTTCTGACCGATATTGGAGTTACAAAAATGACTCTTCAGCTGGCTCTTGTTGATTTTCTCGTCACACACGCTGCAAGCATTTCTCGATGCTCTCCTCCCTGCTATCAATTATGAAAATTATAATTCATTATTAAACAAATCACAAAATCATCATCGTCATTCTCATCATCCTCATCATCGTCGTCGTCGTCGTCACGGTGGCCGTGTTATCTTCATGTCATAAATCAAGATTATGTGCTGGCTGATGATGGTTCTATCGTATCAACGCATTGATAGATAGTAATAAAAATTTGTATTTACCACCACTCTAGAAAGAGAGGAAGAGATAGTTAAGAAAATGTAAAAGAGAAAAAGTGAGACAGACAGAGAGAGAGAGAGAAAGAGAGAGACAAACAAACACACACAGAGAGACAGAGAGAGAAAGAGAGACAGAGAGAGAAAGAGAGAGAGAGAGAGAAAGAGAGAGAGAGAGAGAAAGAGAGAGAGAGAGAGACAAACACACACACACACACACACACACAGAGAGAGAGAAGAGAGAGAATAATATGGAGAGAAAGAAAAGAAATAAATTTGTTCAGCGTTGGAATGAATCACTCAATCAATCAGTGTATTTAATGAATTCGACTCCTTTTTAATCAAATTCAAATATATCTTCATTCGGTTTTTTGTTTCGTTTTTTTTATTTCAATTGTTATGAATGTTGACACCATTACCATCCTTGTCACCATGGTTGTTAATTTGGAGGCACCACCATCGGCGATACATTTCAGTATCGGCTTTGCTTCGGTTGGATGTTCAGTATCGAACTTGATATGGTCGATACTTGCCAGACAGGAAAGAGTTCCATACACGATGTCAACACTTTCGAAGGTCAGACAGATATATTTTAATTAATGATTATTTCAATTTTCAAACTACAATCTAACCGACCATTTTTCTCTCTCAATCCCACGCACACCCCTGTTTCCGCTGGAAATTGATCACAATCCAAGATGGCGGGCCACTGATAGCCTCCCAGCAGCATGGTGTCTTCGCAGGATCGCCTAACTTCCTGGCAAAGGTTCCGGCATGGATAGATGGGTCGCGACATGCAGATGGGAGCGTACAGCGAGCAGAGCATTATTTGGAGGTCCGAGTGACATCTGGTGCTCAAGAGGGGAATCCAGTGAGATCCTGATGGTTCAGAGGGGGTTTCAAATGTTATTTCAATTATTATGAAATAATATAGTGTTTTATTCCTACTTTTAAATGATCACTCATTCATATTCTTCTCCTGTTATACCATTGTCCATTACTCATCGTTACTTTTGATGTTATGGTGGTATTTTTTCAACACAGCACTCACGCGCAAAAACACAAAATACTCACAAATACACACACACACAAACATACAAACGAACGAACGAACAAACAAAAGTACCTTGGTCAACGACGTCATGAACGTTATCGTAACCGAGCAGGTTGGGTATTCTCATTTTTTTGTACTGCAAGTTGTTGCAGAGGTACATTCGGCGTGGGATGTCAATGCAACGAGTCGGTCCGACGAATATTCTGTTGTCGAAAGTCGGTTCGACGAATATTCGATTATTGAAATTATGAAATTTCCTGTGTGTGTTCGATAGATGTTGTTTTCGTTGTTGTTGTTGTTTGGGACGATGTTGTTGTTTGGGACGATGTTGTTTTTTGGGACGATGTTGTTGTTTGGGACGATGTTGTTGTTTGGGACGATGTTGTTGTCTGGTTCGTTTTGTGTTGTTGTCAGAAATAAACCGATGTTTATTTTTGCTTATTTTGTTGTTTATGCTGTTGCTTATTTTCAACTGTTGATCTGTATTGTAATGTTTTTGGTGTCCACGATTCATCTTTAATTCGTTGTTTTTATTTTTGAGTCGTAGTTGCTGATGGCGTTGTTGCCGATTATTTTCCTCATTTTTGTCGATTATATTCGTATCCTTTAAACTGTCGGTATAGTTACTGTACGGTACTGAAGATCGGATCTGTTTGAATCGAGTATTTATCGCATCATCGCTAGATATGTTTGCTGTGGGGTGGTGGATCGAATTGGAGGATTTATTAGTGGCTGCTTTGGCGTTGGTGTCGTCGCTTTCATATAACAGTCTGTTGAATTTATAAGGTTGGAAGGATTTTATGTTACGGTATCGGTATTGTTTGACGAGATTTTTTTCGAGAATAATACCGTCGTTGTCTTTCATATTTTTCATATTATGGCCATCGTCAATTATATCGTTGTTCCAATTCGATACGTAATCGATATACCGATACGGATCGATTCGGACAACCGAACGAATTCTTTTACCGTTACTTTGCTGGTCGATTACACGATAATGTTTTGACGATGACGATGATGGTGGTAACAATAATGATGTCGTTGTTGTTGTTGAAAATGATGATGAAGATGGTGGCAATAATGGTATTGTTGTTGTTGAAGATGACGATGATGTATTATTATCCATCAAACCAACAGCATGTATTTCGTCGTTGGTGATGATGGTGATGATAAAGATGGTGATGAAGAAAGATGGCATCATTCTCTTATCATAATTTTTCATAATTTATTCATAATTTACCCTAACTTATTCATAACATCAACAACAAAATGTAAGATATTAACATTCATATATTACCTTCAATTATTCAATAAGCTCCATTAACAATAATTAAATTATTAATAATAAGATGATGAAGAAGAAGAAAAATAATAATTATGACAGCTATATCTGATGAAAAAATCAATTTAACCATCTGAAGACAGCTTTTACAGCGTTAGAAGCAGCGCAGACGGAATATTTAAAAGAATGTACCAGAGGCACACACGCACACGCAATTATAAATATGACCACATAAACACGTCCATGCAATGCTAACATGTATATAAGGTTCTGAGAGAGAGAGAGAGGGGGAGGGAGGGAGAGAGAGGGAGAGAGAGAAAGAAAAGTGAAAGAAAGAGAGAAATATTGCGTAAGAGATTTTCTCAACAATACACCCTCAATGCAATTATTGTTTCATCAACGAATGACACGCAAGAAATAATAATATAATAATAATATAATAATAATAATATTATTGTTATTGTTGTATTCATCATAATTAAATACGCGGCCATATTAAAATATATATGAATCTATATATACATTATTATTCGTTCATAATTTCTGAGGTAGGTAAACTTTTTTCAGATGAATGAACGGTTGGCTGCTAGTTGAGTACAGTGAAGTGAAAACGAAATTATGAAACAATAATAATAATAATAATAAAATAATAACAATAAGAAGAAAAAGATAACGAAGAAGAAGAAGAGGAAGAAGAGAAACATCAACACCAAGAACTGATTTTGTTGTTTATTTTTCTGATAGAATTAAAATGAAATATGACACCGCACTTCACACACACGCACACACACACACGCACGCACACACACACACGCACACACACACACGCACACACACATATATATATATACCAACAGAGCGAGTCATTTGATACCACGAGTCCGAAACGATGATTAATCGAGTAAATATTATTTTAATTATTATTATTATAAACTTTATATTATTTTATTCCACCATTCATTACATTGTTCACTCATTCATTCTTCTTTTCATCCGACCAACAATTCATTCCTTCATTTAAACCGTCAATCAATCCGTTCATCAATCAAAGCGTAGTGTTACATAATCTTTTTGGAGAATTTAACTCAAAGAAACACACACACACACATACACACACACACACACACACACACAAGCATGTGTATACATCCACACACCACATACACACACATTCCGAGCAATTTTATTTATTTATATAAGCCGGCAATTTTGAAAAGAAATTTTTTTCCATCTATACCGATCTATATTTTATGTGTTACTATAAATATAAATAAAATAAATAAATAAATTTATGGATAAATTTATCATTATTGCTATTATTTTTTATTTGTGTTCACATTATCGGCTTGAAAACAACAAGAGAGGTACTATATTATGCAAGAGTATAAATGCTTTGATGTAAATCCTTCGTTCGTTCATTCATTCATTCAATCGTTCATTCAGCCAATTATTCTTCATTCATTCATTCATTCGTTCATTCATTTATTCGCTTATTTTTATACTGATTTAAAACTGGGGTAAAAAGATGACGAGATTGTTATTGTTAATAAATATTCAAGTTTTCGAAATATGAAAAAAAAAACAGAAATAAACAAAGATAAAACAGAAATAAACAAAGATAAAACATGAATATTCATCCAGTTAATTATACAATGATTCTGCAGAAAAGTTAATAAAAAGTTAAAGTTATATAGAAATAAAAATATTTTATCACATTTCATTAGCACCCAACAAGTATGTGCGTTATCTATAAGGTAGAACAACAACATCAACAACATCATCAACAACAACAACAACATCAACAACAACATCATCAACAACAACGACATTAATTAATAACGACACCAACAACGGACATAATTGAGCATGACAATTCAATTGCACACACACACACACACAATACACACACACACACACACACACACACACACACACACACACACACACACACACACACACACATAGAAACGTTGTAACTTACTTATTTTGTAAAAAAAACTTTAAAAAAGGAATGAAGTGAACGGAAATAAAATAATTCGAAATTTTTTAAATATTAATATCATTCACTCATTCATTCACTCATTCATTCATCATTCATTAATTCATTCATTCACTCACTCATTCATTCATTCGTTCGTTCACTCTTATCATTCATCAATAGTATTAGTATTAATATAAGAAAAGATTGATATCACGGAGAAATAACTGTTCATCAATTCGATGGAACCGTTTAAATTATTAGTGGGATTAATTTATTAAAAAAAGTAAATTTTAAAAAGAAGCAAAAAACAAAGATAAACAAGAGACAAAGATAAATAATAATTCAATTCAAAAAGCCAGCTCCCGCCAATTTTCTGCTTTTTTTCCGAAGCGGAAACACAATTTTTTTGGATACTGTCCGTCTCTTGGAACGTCTGACATCGTTCCGGATGTTTTGCACCATCTGTCGATCAATGAATGATTGATTGAATGAACGAATGAATGAATAAATGAACAGATAATATTATTATAAAAATGAATTAAACACGCACCTCAGAGCTCTGCTCAACTTCTCAAAATTCATTCTGTCACTGCTTTTGTATTGGCCCCAGAGTTCTGCCACCTGACGAAGTTTTAATAATTATAGTTATAATTATGGCTATAATTATAGCTATAATTATGATTAAGTATGACTGTGTAGAAATAAAACAATCTAAAAACATAAAAACAAAGAAACAATACTGACTTTTTTAGAATTAACGATCCTGAAAATTCCCAATTCTTTGTTCTCCCACTGGATGACCTTATCGATGCCCATGCCGCAACTCTGCTTCAACAGCCGACACATGAACTTCCACAGGTGTTTCGTCTTGTTGGCTGCGTAGTGGTGGTGGTGGTGGTCGTAGTGGTGGTGGTGGTAGTGGTGGTCGTAGTGGTGGTGGTGGTAGTGGTGGTAGTAGTTGCGTGATTACGTCACGATAAGGATTATTATTATCATCTAAGGGAGAATCATGCCTAACTATCCACATCATCATCGTCATCATCGTCACATCATAGTCTGAATTATGACGATAGCAATCATTATTATAATTTATTAATATAATTATAAAATTATTATTAATATAATTATGAAATTATCTAATCATAATTACCTCTGTTGATAGCCTGCCTGGCTGGATTTTTGTCTAATAACAACAACGACGACGATGATGGTGATGATGACGACGATGATGGCGATGATGATGACGATAGTGATGATGATGACGATGGTGATGATGATGACGATGATGATGGTGATGATGATGATGGAGAAATAATTTTTGACTTTAGTGGCCTCCCTCTTGTTTTTGGGATTTTGAATTTCCGGTTGTCACCAGCATGAAAATGATTAACATGATGAGGATGATGATGATAGGGATGGTGACGGAAGTGAGGAAGATGAGTAGGATGATGATGATGATGATGGGGCTGATGAGAAGAGCGAGTTCGAGAGAAAGTTGGAACGTCAGAGGGAGGTGAGTTAGTTGGTGTTTGTGAGTAAACTGCTAGTTGTAATAACTGTTGTTGTTGTTGCTGATGCTGCTGCTGTTGTTGTTGTTCTTGAAGTTGATGTTGCAGATGCAACTGTTGAAGCAGTAATAGCTGTTGTTGATGTTGTTGTTGTTGATGTTGTTGTTGTTGATATTGTTGATGTTGCAGGAAACTTAAATGATCGTAAGTTACAAATTTTTTCTGCACTCTATCTTCAAACTGGTATTGTTGATGCTGTTGTTGTAGTTGATACTGCTGTTGTTGATGCTGTTGTTGTTGCAGCTGCTGTTGTTGTTGATGTTGTTGTTGCAGCTGCTGTTGTTGTTGTTGCAGCTGATGTTGTTGTTGCAGCTGCTGATGCTGTTTTTGAGCCACAGTGCCTACCATGGAATCATAACAACCTATAAATTGATATTTTTATTTCTGTCAATAACAACAATACTCTTTTTGTCTTTGGACATTTTCGCTACAAAAATTGGCACACATACACACACACACATACACATACATATGTACATACACACACAAACACAGAGATGAACGCAGACTTATATATATATATATATACGCATACAATACCAACAAAACAACAAACAAGTAAATCAATTGATGAGTTAAGAAACATTACAAAGAATTCTTTGTAATAAATAAAAATAATAATAATAAACAACAACAATAATAATAATAAATTATAATAATAATAATGTTGAATTATATTTTATTTCACGCTCCACTGGACCCGACGTTCGAGAATAGGCGGGAAAACCCAAGCGTTCTATTTTTAGATTGCACTATATTTATAACGGTGCTAGTTACTATAATTATTATAATACTTTATTGTTGTAACCAAACCATGTTGGAGTGCTTTGATTGTACATATTTCTATATACGTATAGTGTACAACGTAATGTATGAATATATTACCTCTTGGAGAGTTTTCGACTATAATGGCATTATCGTATTTGCTGATGTTGTTGTAGCTGATGTTGTTGATGGTGATGTTGTTGGCGATGCTGTTGTTGTTGTTAGCAGTAGTTGTGTTGTTGTTGTTGCAGACGTCATAATGGTTGTTGATGATGTAGTCAATATCGATAAAGTTGTTCAGGAACGCGTCGTCGATTAGAATGTCAGACAGGCAGTCATTATGGACATCATCATCAGCACCACCACCGACGATGACGTCATCATCATAAACGTAGCCTCCATCACCATTACCACCATCACGGCAATTTTTTTTGAAGTCATCATCAGCGTGAATTTTTCTCGATAAGGATTGACAATCAACATTTATATTTTCTTTCAGGATGCCTGTGTGAGTGTGTGTGTTCGTTAATTATATTATAATGTAATTATGATATTAATTATAATTTATTATAGTTAGATAAATGAATAATAATAAAATAATAATTATTATTATTATGGAATAAATAAATCGTCAACAGAAAAAAAATTATCTCGTTATCTGCCATTCTCGGCCAAAAATATATTATTATCCATAATAAAAAAACGTAATTATGAATAATTATAAATAATTATGAGTAATTGTCATCCACAAACTGTCTTCTTCTATCTAAATGAACTATCATCCCTACAAAATATACAGTATAGAATATTGAAGCGCACATTTCCTAATCATGATAATTAAACTGAACGAAAGAAGAGAGGAAGGACGAAATGAACGATGAACTGGAAAAAATGAGGAAGTGAGAGAGAGAGAGAGAGAGAGAGAAAAAGTAACCGTGATGACGACGACGATGATTAAAAGAACGAACAAACAAAGAGAAAAATAAACTTGAAAATTTTAAAGAAATACGAACAATCGATCAAGTCTAGTTCGTTGGCTAAGCAGTTGTTGTCATAATCTTTCGTAAAAAATTCATCTTCTTTGATGTCTTTGCTGCTGTTGATGTTGTCGTTGTTGTTGATGTTATCTAAGTTATGCAGCCGCTGCGGTTGCTGCTGCATTTGCTGTGGTTGCTGCTGCTGTTGTTGCTGGCGTCGCTGCAGCAGCTGCTGTTTGCAGTTTTCATCATAGTTAAACCCGGAGACACAGGAAGGCAACGAGGGCGCTGGTGAAGATGGCAGCGATGGTGATGATGATGATGATGTCAAGAACGTGAAGAAAGATGGCGATGATGGTGATGATGATGATTCTGGTGATGACGATGATGGTGGTGATAGCAAGGAAGGCGATGAGAATAAGTTTTCCGCTGAGTATATCTCATTGATGGTCGGAGTTGAGAGGAGTAGTGATGATGATGATGATGACGAAAACATGATGGTGCTTCTCAGTTGCACTGTTGAGTGTTGTTGAGCTTTCAAGTGGTGCTGTCTGGGATGATCCTCCTTGTTCTCAACAAGTCTTGAAAGATTGAATGAAAACATTAGCATCGAAATTATGGATGAATAAAACAATAAAAAATAACATTAATAAATAATAATAACAATAATAATCTATAATTAAACAAAATAAATAAATAAAAACAAACCGAAATAAGATTAATTTATATTCGAAATATAAAAAGATAAGTTTTATTCTCACTACTGAAAAGGTCTCCAATAGATGCTTTCACAACGCTATTTATATACCGGCGTAAGTATGGTGATATATGTATACATGTGTGTGTATGTATGTGTGTATGTATTTATGTATGTATGTGTGTATGTATGTATGTATGTGTGTGTGTGTGTGTGTGTATGTATGTATGTATGTTTGTATGTATGTATCTACGTTTGCATACGCATGACTAAGGCAAAATTCCTGAAAACATTGTTTCGTTCAATTTAATGCTAAACTTCATTTAATTGTTTAATTGTTCAATTGTTTCATATATATGATTAATTATAAGCATAATTAAAAATAAAATTATTATCTATATTTTTCGTGTTTAAAAACTATCCATTCTATTATAAACAAACATCGTTAATGAGTAATATAAATGAAGTATTTGTTATAAAGTCAAACGAAACAACCAACCAACCAATCAATCATACAACCAACTAATCAATCAACCAACCAGCCAAACAACCAACCAGCCAAACAACCAACCAGCCAGCCAACAACCAGCCAACCAACCAACCAACCAACCAACCAACCAATCAACCAACCAACTAATCAATCAATCGATCGATCAATTATAATCCCACAATTACATTTATCAACATGTTTATAGTTGTATTGATATAATAATAATAATAATTATACTTATATATAATAATAATGTTATAATTGTTATAATTATTATTGAATATTATTATTATTATTATTATTATTATTATTATTGGTGGTTATAATGATAAATAACATTGAATCATGTGACACAGTAACAGGCGCGCTAAATTAATTAAGCAATGATGATGATGGTGATGATAATAAAAAGGCGAATGAAACAAATGAATGACGATGTTGTTGTTGTTATTGTTGATGTTGTTGTTGTTGATGATGATGCTGATGACGACGACGATGAAGATGATGGTGATGAAGATGATGGTGATGAAGATGATGGTGATGAAGATGATGGTGATGAAGATGATGGTGATGAAGATGACGCTAATGATGATCTGTCGAGAAATTGTTAACATAAAAAACATTTAACCATAACTATTATTATCGTTATTGTGATTATAATTAGCCACAATTTTCGTCATCACATAACGAAGGTATTAATTAAAATTAATTATCATTATGAATGATAATAAATTAATATTAATTATCATTATAAATGATAATTAATAAGGGTGTCTCAGCAGTGGCACTAAAAGGTAAAATGATTTATCTTATTGCTGATGCTACAAAATAAAATTGTTAGAACTACTACCAATAATAATAATAATAATAATAATAATAATAATAATAATAATTTGTTACGTCAGCAAAGTATTGATCCAACAAAACGTTTAACATAATTTTTCCATTTAACCAATCTATGCACTCACAAATATAAATTGATGAATTTCTCAGGATGTATAAGTATTATATTACCAATCATAAGACGTGATTCCGAAATATAGATAAACACACACACACACACACACACACACACACACACACACACACAAGCAGATGGCGCCAGCTCAACCACGGACCCTAACCCAAAACCCCCTTGACAGATTGGCAACATTGCCTGGAACCAACTCCTTTCGTCTACGGCCCCCGCCACACTGAAAATTTTTTCGAAACCACTGCGGTGTCAAACTTTTCTAAAACTAACCTTCATGCACGCATGCATGTAGGCATGCATGCGTGCATGTATGAATGTGTGTTTATGTAAGTATGTATGTATGTCAAGTCAATAGGATTATTACCACAAGTCGTCTCCAGTGCTAATTAGGAACTTTTAAAAACTTAGGCAGAACAATTTCGACCTAAGCATCGCTGCAACTTTCAGCTTTCACAGCACACATCGGCAGTAATAATTCTACTGCTACTACTACTACCATCACCACTAATAATAATAATAATATTATTATTATTATTAATATGAATCATTATATCGGATTTGTAATTTTAGGTAGTTTCAAAGGAAAGTGTCATTACTCATAACCATATCGAGGATGCAGCATAATAAAAATAATAGCAATAAACAACAACAATAATAACAACAATAATAATAATAATAGTCATCGTAGTCATCATCAGTGCTCTTCAAAACTGCAATCAATTCTAAAGCAATCTGATGCATATCAATCATTGCCATCATAAAGTAACATTAACCTAGTGGTGTTAACAATGATTATGATGATAGTACACTTCATGCTACCTCTACTACTACTACTAATACTACTACTACTTACACTATTACTACTACTACCACTGCTACTACAACCACTACTTATACAACAAGAACAATAATAATAACTCGATTTCAACATTCGCGTACATTAACATCAAAATCGGGTTACTCAAAGGCAGTCACACACACACACACACACACACACACACACACACACACACACACACAGTCACGTATATTGAAAGCTATCTGAAAATATTATTAGGAGCCTGCCTTATGAATGTGCGGAATTTTATTGAGTAAAGTTGTTGTTTACGGTCAAATAGAAATCGTGCCGTCAACTTTAAACACGTTCTTTCTTATAAAGCATTTTTCGGACATCCGAATTTTTAATCACTACAACTGCTATTAAGAGTAACATTACTACTGTAGTACTGCTACAACTACTTCTGCTGCTACCACAATTGCCACTGCTGTTGCTGCTACGACTACGGCTGCTACTACTACTACTGATGCTATTCTTCGACATTCATATTTATATACATCTGTATGCCTTTTACAGGCCTCTTTTATAGCAACTTAATACTGCCACAACAACAATAACGACTAAAACTGAAATAACAACAACAATTATAATATAAACAACAACAACAACAACAACAATAATAATAATAATAATAATAATATGTGTGTGAGATTGTTGTTAGAGATGATTTGATGGAATTTAAGACAAGAATGATTCATACATTACACAATTAATAAGCCATCAGATCAAACAAAGATTTTACTGATAATAATATCAATAATTAACAATAGTAATAATAATAATAATAATAACAAGGGTGTATGGTCATTAAATACATACTATAGTTTAATTGTGGTGCAAGTTAATGTTAATGGTTCATGCGTGTTTGGTTCAATTTTCGTCGCTGTTGCAGTTGTTGCAGTTGTTGCAGTTGTTTGTGGGTATTAACTTCTGCATTTGACGTCATCCAACCACACAGCCACGCCCTAAATATCAGAAAATAACACGAACGAAACAGAAAGCCAAATATATGTCGGTTAATTTTCGGTCTGCCATACTATTTATACCAATTTTTGCCGTAAGATCTCATTTCTTTGTACATGGTATTGCCAACAATGAGTTTGCTTAATCCTGGCAAAATGAACCAAATCAAACACATTTATAAAACACAAGATATTTATTTAACGTTCAAATATTATCATTAAACATTAACGACATCTCATTAATTATTCAGTTAATCAATCAATCAATCAATCAATCAATCAATCAATCAATCAATCAATCAATCAATCAATCAATCAATCAATCAATCAATCGATCGATCAATCAATCAATCAAATTAATTTAATGATTGAACAATTAATTAATAACCCAGCACGTTAAACAATAAATTTATATAATAGTTTACGATAAAACCAAAAAAATGAATGTAAAAAACCTTACATAACAAAATTACTACATACATACATATATATATATATATATATATATATATATATATATATATATATAAATAAACACAAACTCATGTACATTGTACATTTAACTGGTCAGGTATGACCACGCACCTGTTTATTGTACGCTCTCAGCCTGTGGAGTTAAATTGTTGTTTTGAAAGTTTACTTATACAATCAGTCAGGTAGAACACGATTTGCTCGTAATTGAACTTAAAGTTGCTACATTATGGTTGATAAAGTCAAGAGAACTACCAACAAATCTGCCAAAGAGGGTTCAAATTTGACTCTACAGTGTTTCCATTGTGATTCCTTGTTTCCTCTTCCTACTGGAGTGTCTGATGAGAGTTATGAATTCATCATAACAGCTAACAATTTAAAATTCTTCTGCGACGCTTGTTTGAAGAAATTCTCTGTGGAGAAACAGTTTTATAAAAAATTAGAACAGAGTAAATCAGAGATGGTAGAAGAAATGAAAAAATTAAATGATGTAAATAAAACAATCATATCTGAAGAGTTATGAAGAGAAACAGTTTCATAAAGAACTTGAAAAGGGTAATTCAGAGATTATAGAAGAAATGAAAAAATTAAATGACGTATTATGATTTATTAAATATTATTAATTTTAATCAAAATTGGTCTAATAGCGTTGTCATTTTTTTTGCCCAACCTCATGTAAGTACGTAAGTACTGCAATGATGATGATGATGGTAATGATGATAGAGATAGTAATAATAATAATAATAATATTAATAATAATGATGATGATTATGATTACGATACGAACATAGTTTTTTCATATATACAACACGCAAAGAATGAATGGAAAAACATTATTCTTGTATATATATACACATATATATATATATATTCTTACCCATATGAATATATATATATATATAATATATATATAATAAATATGTATATATAGGGTGCGTGTGTCAAACCAAATAAAATACGATATACTCAAGAGAATGATACATGAAAATTTCGAGAAAAAAAAACGGTTTCTAATATAACGAACTATATATTACATTATATATATATATATATATAATATATATATATACATATTTCGATATAATATATATATATACATATTTCGATATATATATATATATATATATATATGTTGGTAATAGACCATAATTTTTACAATATTCTATAAATTCTACCGAATGTTTGGCGTTAATATGTTTGTAGTTCGTTTTTTCGATTTTTCTCACTAAAGTTTTTTGGTGAACGTTTAGTTTATTAAAATTCAAAATAAACTTATTTTTCGAATTAGGCCATATTTCGATTCCGAATGAATCATCGTCAGTGCTCCTTGTTGTATATATAGGGAAATATTGACTTTGTCAAGATTACCTTTGATGTTGTAAAAATTAACTTTGGTGTTGTAAAATTGAACTTTGAATGCGAATTAGGTGTCAGGTTTCTTAATTGGCCGGTCATCTTCTTTGGTCTCCTTTTCTTCATCAATAGCATCATATTCTTCTTTGTCACTATTTACGATGCTAGTTTTTATTACTTCTTTGTTTTCGTTGTTGTTTAAGCGCCGGTTTGGAAGTGAGATTGTCATTTTTTGTTATATATTTATTTTTGGTTTATTGATGTCGATTAGGACTGCTTCTGCAATTTTAAGATGCGTGTAGTTGCTGTTCTTGTATAACCCTAACCCTAACCATCAAAAGACTGGACTCATGCCTGAACGATATAACCAGGATGAGAGACAGGGCGAAAACAATCAATACACCGAACCAACCACCACAACAACGCAGTAAAGAAACGGGTACTCCGACCACACGTGATGTAGGGGTCGGGACCTGGACCATGGAACAAGGCACACAAACTGATGAGGTCCCCCAGATGGTGGACAATCAACAACAAACGGACATAGCTGAACAAATCCCGGTACAAGGGAAGGTGAGGGATGCGCACACATCTCCAAGAAGAACCCCTACACTGAACTCTAACCATGAGGGAAACGAAGAAACATCAGCTACAACCATAACCCTAACTAAAGAGAAAACCCCAACCCACACCAGGACCCTTAGCACCAGGACGCTGGGAGAAATTCCATGTGATAACGTCGACAAGTGCGTAACGGAAGGGGATTCTGATGACGAGGAGAAGGAGTTAGATTCATCTAAACAAGCCACACTATACAGTTACTTCCAACCGACACAGGAGTTTATACGAGACTTGAATGAGAATGAATTATTGCCGGAAGGAGAAACCTCAAACTACATACCCCCAACCACTAGAGGGGCGTCGAGGAAACCAATTCCAACCAGCTCCCTTGGCCGCAAAACCAAAGAAGGCAATAATACTATAATATTCAGCTGCCTTAAAGGAGTAGAAGAACTCAAAAAGAGGATCAATTTTTCCCTAGACAATGATACAAAAATTGTTGACGGATACCTGGTACACAAGAACATAATTATAAACCCGTCCCCCAAAGAACAGAACAGGCAAATGTCAGTAGAGATTGTGAAACACATCCTTCCATACCTTCCATTCCATACTTTTGTTATTTACATTTCTCAATAGTTAGCGCCAACATTTAGCGCCAGTAATTTTTATAATTTATTAAAGTTTTAATTATTTGTTTTAATTAAAAATTTCAATATTTAGATAGTAAAATTAATTGGGAACCTAGACGATACATTTAAGTCTGCAGATTCCTGAGGAGATATCACATCGAAACACCGGTGTAGACATCGCAGACCGTGCACACATTTTAGAATTAAATAAAATATTTTCAACACGTTCTGGATTTTTATTTGCCACATAGACATCTTCGTGCAAACATACATATTAACTAAGAACTATCACCCTAACTGCAATAAAGAAAATATCAAGAAGGATCCACATGCACTCCTAAAGTCATTCATGAGAAGACAGAGCATATTAAACAATGCATGTAGGGCTGATGAGCACTGCGCTTGCTTGAGGACGTTCATGGAGGCGTTCAGAATAAACCAATGCACTATGTACAGTGTAAAAAACATGTAGACGTGACGCGTCCACAGATGGAGCGTAAACAATCCAGCATAATGAACATATCCAGACATCCATTAACGGAGGATCAAATCAACTTACTTAATAAGGGACTAGGATTTGTCTGTACCCCCAGGAGTATAAGAAAATCGGAGGTAACAGAAGGAATTGACAGAATTATTAAAAATATACAACTAAAAGATTATTTTAAAAACAACATGGATACAACAAGGATGGGAAACCCATATCTAACGGATTACAAAAGATACTTCAAGTCGGGTTGGATACCACCACATTCGAAATTATCAATTGAAGAGATAAATGATATCAAAAGAAGTTGAACGAACAAGAGGAAAGGCGAATACATTAAAACGAACTTAAAATCGAACATCAATAATAAAGAAAGAGTGGCCCTCAAAGAACTATTAAAAAACGAGCACATTATCATTAGAAAGGCGGACAAAGGGAGCATGTGTGTAATAATGAACAGAGATAATTATATAGAAGAGGCAGAAGGCCAACTGAAAGACGAAACGTTTTACAAAAAAATTCAACAACCAATCGACAGGAGATCATGGCCCTGCCGCTCAAATACAAAGCGTTAAAAGTTCTTAAAAGTAAAAACAAAAAGATGGTAACAGACCTATCGCCACCAGAGACGCCTAGGGGGAGATACTTTTATACCCTCCCAAAGATACACAAGGATAGACAGGAATGGCTGAACGAGTACACGCCCAAAGGGAGACCAATTATAAGCGATATAAATTCCATAAATCAGCCCATATCCGAATTCATCGAAACTCAACTTAAACAACTTAATAAGTTCCTTAGATATGTGGTAAAAGACACAAGAAACTTCGTGAAGAAAATGTCAACTACCCTAACCAATAAAAATCAAATACTAGTCACGGCAGACATCGCCAGCCTGTACACGAACATGAAGAATCAAAGATCCATCATGAAGATGAGAGAGACCCTGACGATTTTACTTTCAATGGCCAACAATATCTCCAGGTCAATGGCTGTGCCATGAGAAAGATTTTCTCGCCCACACTGGCCAACATTTACCTTGATGAGTTGGACACGGCAATCAATGAAGAATTCCCGAGCGTGGTCAGATACCAGCGGTACATAGATGACATCTTCTTTGTATTTAACGGACCAATGGAGGAACTGGAAGGGGTAATAAAGAGGGCAAATGAAGTGATAGAGGGTATTAAAATCAACTTCAAATACGACACAGAAGAGGTGGAATTCCTAGATGTTACAGTTTATAAAGGGATCCCCAACTCACCATTCATAATGACGAAACCACACTTCAAACCTACCAACACATTCGACCTTCTCCATCATGACTCCTTTCACCCCCCACACATCTTCAAATCCATCATTTACTCACAGTTCCTTAGATATGCCAGCATATCATCAGAATTCAAACAATTTAAAGAAGCCAGCTTTAGATTAATCAACAAACTCAAGTTCCGCGGCTACAAAACACAAAAAATGAAAATAACATTTAAAAAGGTAAGTAAAGAGTTTGATAAACTTAAACCCATAAGCCAGAACTACAGGAGACATTTCCAGCGTAAAGAGAACCAAGGATTACGTACTGGTTAAGCCATACTGCCCTTCCCTAGGATCCATATACCACATGATCCTACTCGCGATGATAAAAAATAATATCATATCTAACGAGGAAGAAGCAGTAGTGGCCTACAAAGTACAGAAAAACCTGAGGAGAAGCCTATTCGGAAGAATATAAAATCAACAGGAGCACACACGGACCATAAAACATCCTGCCGAATGATCACAATCGAACAAAGTCCTCACATTATATATTGCAAGAATTACGATGAAATGAGCGAGCAAAGCAGAAACAATAAATTTTGCAAAGCAGCAAATTTATGATTAATCAAAGGAAGAGCGAGCAAAGCAGAAACAATAAACTTCGCAAGACAACAATTTTACGATTAATCAAAAAGAAGAACGGGCAAAGTCTATTCATTTAACTTAGAACTGATTATAACTTTATGATTTTACAACCTTGCATGTAGTATATAAGTAACATCTCCATTCATTTGTAACAATTCCTGATGAAGGCGCACAGCCGAAACGTTGAATAGAATAATAAATACAAATAGCCCAATCTTAGCTTCTTGTTGTTTTATTGTGTGAAGATAGTTTGGTATTAGACGTATTAAGGTTCCTTTTTATTTGAGATAACCCTAACCCTAACCAGAACAGCAACTACACGCATCTTAAAATTGCAGAAGCAGTCCTAATCGACATCAATAAACCAAAAATAAATATACAACAAAAAATGACAATCTCACTTCCAACCCGGCGCTTAACCAACAACGAAAACTAAGAAGTAATAAAAACTAGCATCGTAAATAGTGACAAAGAAGAATATGATGCTATCGAAGGAGACCAAAGAAGACCGGCCAATTAAGAAACCTGACACCTAATTCGCATTAAAGTTCAATTTTACAACACCAAAGTTAATTTTTACAACGTCAAAGTTAATCTTGACAAAGTCAATATTTCCCTATATATACAACAAGGAGCACTTTCGATGATTCATTCGGAATCGAAATATGGCCTTATTTGCAGCAAGAATTAGAAAAATAAGTTTATTTTGAATTTTAGTGAGAAAAATCGAAAAAACGAACTACAAACATATTAACGCCAAACAGTCGGTAGAATTTATAGAATATTGTAAATATATATATATATATATTTATATATATATATATATTTACTCTCATTACTCTCATATATATTTACTCGCATTATATATATATATATATATATATAATGCGTTATATATACATACCAAGTCACATCACAAACTAGACATACTTGTTGGTTAAAATCATGATGAAACGGTAGCATTAGTAGTAGTAGTAGTAGTAGTAAAAGTAGTCGTAGTTCTACGATTTCCATATTGATCCCAGAAAATAAATACAATTTATTTTATTTTTCATCGATATATATAAAAATAATAACTAATTAATTAATAACATAAAAAACAACAATAGCAATAATAACAATAATAGTAATAAAAAAATAATAGCAATAATAGTAATAATAGCAATAAAAACAATTCAACAAAACCACTATTGAAGATAAATAAACTTGGAAAACAAATAATCCACCGTCGTCGTCATCATAGCCACCACCACCACTACTACCACTACTACTACTTTCCCATTCAGCATCATCATCATCATCCTCAACATTCGTCGCATGCAATATACTGTGACAGGAACAAAACTTGAACGAATTTTTGTGTCATTTCATCATCACCGTACTCTTATATTACTATCGATCATTAGCATCACTATTTTCATCTTTTACACTTCCAGATTTCACGACGTCATTACCACCGTTGCCATCATCATCACCAACACCCACTTTTTCGACATCATCATCATTATCATTTTTATTATTATTATTATTATCGCGATCATCATCATCATCGACATCTTCATCAATCTTCAAATCCTTGACGGAGGAGGAGTCAGAACTCAGCCCGTCAGCCTGCAACGCTTCAGTGTAAACGTCATTAGCAATATCGTTATCAGGACCAACACGAGGATCATTATCATCACCGTCAGCCAGACGTCTAGACGACCAATAATTCGACGCTATAGAAGCGGCTGTCAGCCCTTCAAGGCATATACCTGAGTGAATGAATGAATGAATGAATGAATGAATGAATGAATGAATGAATGAATGAATGAATGAATGAATGAATGAATGAATGAATGAATGAATGAATGAATGAGCATCATCACCACCAACATCATAATCAGCCCTACCACCATCATTCATTAACCTTTATTCTTCTGTTCACCATCATCTTTATTCTCTGTACTAGGATAACTTCTATTGGTAGAAGCAGCAGCAGTAGCAGTAGTAGTAGTAGTAGTTGTAGTAATCATGGTTGTAGTTGTAGTAATCATAGTAGTAGTCGTAGTAATTATAGTAGAAGTAATAGTCTTTAGAGCAGTGTCATTCATATTCATAGTTGTATTGCTCGTACTACCTTTGCTACCAAACACATACATTGCGTTACTATTACTAACACCACCACCACTACTACTACAACTACTGCTGCTACTACAACCGATCAGCGTTGACGTAGTAATGATGTTGTTGTTGCTAATGGAAGTAATAATTGTAGTAGGGTCGCCAACAGAGGTAGTAGTAGTAGTGGTGAATGTATAGGGATGTGTAAGATAGGACGATGTTGTTGCTGATGTTGTTGCTGATGTTGATATTGTTGTTGTTGTTGATGTTGCAGATGTTGATGATGATGAGGCTGTTGATGTTTTTGTTGTTGCGAATGTTGTCGAGGCTGTTGACAATTCTAGTTGTTCCTCTTTCTAAATAATAATAATAATAATGATTATGAGGATTATGTTTGTCACTAACAACAACTGCATCAACAGCAACGTCATCATCACCCTCAACAACATCAACAACAACAACAACATCAACAATATCGTCAACAACAACTACATCAGCATCAACAACAACATCAATTCTAACGTGTTGCTTCCACATTTTGGTTTTCCAATTAATATAATTTGGTGATGTTGTTGTCGTTGTTGTCGTTAATGTATTAACGTTTAATTTGAAGAGTTCACTGCTGCCGCTACTGCTGCTGCTAAATGTTGATGCCATTGTTGTTGCTGACACCACTGCTGTTGATGTTGGATATGCTTGCTGTGCTAGAGAAAGATCTCTTGAAATTATTTGTTGTTGATGTTGTTGTTGTTGATGTTGTTGCAATTGATGTTGCTGATGTAATGAAGAGTGGGTGGAGCTATCAGTAGCCTGGTCACTTCTTACCACGTGGTCCACATCCATTTTATTAGCCTCTTTGTTGTTAATATTATTTATAATTGATGAAAGTGATGAACGTGTTGGTAATCTTTCTTGCCAATTATTATTATTATTACTACTACTACTACTACTTGTAAAAGGGGTAGTAGTAGTAGTAGTAGTGGTGGTAGTAGTAGTAGTAGTGGTGGTAGTAGTAGTAACAGTATTGGCAGCAGTTGTAGTTGTAGTAGTAATAGTAAAAGTTGTATTATTATCATTAACATCGCTATTAGCGTATCTGTTTATATTAGTATGATTGTCTGTATTATAATTATTATTGTTGTTGTTGGTGTGTTTGTCCTCAGAGGTCTTCATATATTCTTTTATAGCTATTTGAAAATCTGTTGAAGACGACGACGACGACGATGATGATACACTGATTATGACGAAAATGATAAAAATAATGGAGACGATGATAAAGACAACAACAACAACAACGATGATGATGATGATGACATCAGCACCTACCTTTGTTGTGGCAAGCCTCCGCCTGATAGCCAATATCTTGTGCTATGATAGCTTCAATTCTGTCACTGGCCGTTACGAACTTGTTGCAAGAGATGCCGTAATGTCGTTGCGATAGCATTTTGTCCGCATGTTGTTGTTGCTGCTGCTGTGCGTGAATTTGATGATGATGGAGGTAGGCGTCACTGTGTTGTTGTTGCTGCATGTGCATGTTCTCCTGACGTTTGTGCAGTTGTTGTTGGAGCGAATCAACGGACAGCATGAATTTCTGTCGCTGCGAGCTGGACATGGATGATGGCAGTTTGCAAAGTTTTGTCGGTACGTCGTCGTTGTAGTTGGCTGAACTTTCTGATGAACTTTTTCGTTTCATTTTGTTGTTGTTGTTGTTTTCGTTGTTGTTGTTGCTGCTGCTGCTGCTGCTGCTGTTGTAGTATTTAGTGCTGCTAGTATGATGGCTTGTGGTAGTTGAAGTGAACTTGCTGTCGTGAAATGAAACAATTCGTTGAGGTTCCGTCGATTTTGTTGCTGATGTTGATGATGACCATGTTGTTGTTGTTGTTGTTGTTGTTGCTGCTGCTGCTGATGGCCATGTTGCTGTTAACAACGTTCTACTTGTTGACCAAGTGGTTGTTGATGTTGTTGTCGATGTTGTAGTTGTTGTGTTTGTAAGGATGGCAGCTATAGTGCTATTGATGTTGCTGTAGTTGTTCATATGCAACGCTGCTGTCATCGCGAAAGTAGTAGCGGCAGTAGCAGCAGTAGCAGGAGTGAAGAGAGAACTGGCAGCAGCAGTAGTAGATGGAAGAGTTTTTAAATTCATGATTTCGCTTATTTGTTGTTGGAAGCGTAACTGTTTCTGCTGCGCCGTCAGATTATGAAGGTGCGACGAGCTGCTTGCGTTGCTGTTGCTGTTGTTGTTGTTGTCGCTCAAGGTTGGCAGCGAAGAAGATGGAGAAGATGACGACGGGGAGGCTATCAAATCATCGGATTCAGTCTTGTTGATCTGTAGGAAGATTATGGCCTCGATGAGATTGGCTGCAGTCATGTTACTCGGAGGATTAGAATCGCCATTCGTAAATCTCGAAAGGTCAAAGGTCCCTGGCAGATTGTTGTACGATAATGATGATGATGTGTGGCGTTGCTTCGGCTGGTGCAAGTTGAGTGGAGGTGATGACGTCACTGGATGATGATGTAATGAGTGAAATGATGCTGTTGTGTTGTTGGAATATTTATGCTCGCCATCTTCCCCTTCGTTCTTAACTTGTTGCTGCTGTTGGTTCGCATCTAATGGGTGATGGTGTTGTTGCAGATAGATTTGTTGTTGTGGATGATGATGTTGTTGTTGTTCAATGAAACGATGCTGTTGTTGTTCACTCTGTTGTTGTTCAATTGGATGATGATGTT